GCCCGCGAGGCGCTCCCCCCGCCCGGCACGGAGCCGGGCGACGTGCTCGGTTGGTCCGCCTGGCACGTCGCGGCGGCGTACGGCCATGTCGGGGTCCTGGAGGTGCTGAAGGACGACGTGGTCAACACGGGCGCCCACCATCTGGCGGCGTGCCAGGAGGGGGCCAGCGGAGGGCTCAGGGGCAACGTCAGAGAGGGGCACAGGCTTGGGGGTGGGTGGGGCTTTCGGGTTTCCGAGCGTTTCCAGAGCTTCCCACGGGTTCTCCGGCCTCGGGGTGCTCTCCAGGAGCTTGGCCTCGCCCAGAGGCGTCTGGGTGTGGCTGGATCGCCCCGAACGGCCGCCGGAGATCTGACTTACGCCTCGACAGTCCGACGACGAGGATCTTTGGCTCACGGGGGGAGATGCATCGTCCCCCAATTGCGCGTTGATCGCCGATAGGGGTCCGTAGCCAACCCCGCCCAGGAGCGCTCGATTTCGCGGTCGGGGGCCTATCGTAGCTCTATCAGCGACGTATCGCCGATTCTAGCTTTGCGTTCCCCCCCCTGAGCCAGTCTTCCCCTGCCAGCCTACCTTTCCCCCTCAAGGGCGGCGATCGATACTTCTGGGCGCTTTCATTTTTGTCTAGGCCTCCTAGATGGGGTCGAACTAGACGGGGTCGGAGGATCGCGCCGCATCGCCGATGCATCACCGATGCGGCGCGATCCTCCGACCCCATCTACTCCGACCCCATTGAGGAGGCCTCTATTGCGAAGGCCTTACGGCGGGTGCCGCCGACCCTGAATGGCGACGACGACGACGACGACGAGCGCTCTCGGGGGCCTCTTGGGAGTAGTTTGGGGGCCCCTTGAGACGCTCTTGGGGGGCTTCTTAGGGACCTCTGGGGGCCTCCTGAGAGCTTCTCAGGCTGAGGGCTCGAAATGTCCGTTCGGGTCCCCCGTCTGGGCTCCTCCTTGGAGCCGTCTTGGGGGCCTCTTCAGCTGTCTTGGAGGCCTCTTGGGCCATCTCGGGGCGGTCTTGGGGGCTTCTTGGCCTGTCTTGGAGCGTCGGGAAGCTGAGAAGGCGAGAATGCCGAAATCTTTCAACAACTTACGGGACATCTGTCATTTTTGCCCCTTGGGACCCTCTTGGAAGTCCTCTTGGGGGCCTCTTGGTGCGTTTTGGATGCCTTTTGAGCCGTCTGGAGGCTACTTGGGCGACTTGGAATGATACTTCTGCGATTCGGAGCCTTCGAGGACTGTCTTGGGGGCATCTTGGGGCAGTTCAGCAGCATCCTGCGGCTTTTCTTGGCCGCCCAACCGCCCGAGGGGGAGTCGTATTTGCCGCCGATCTGCATGAGGGGCGCCACCGAATTTCAGAAATGTGGCAAATCCCTTATGTTTTTGCACCCTGGCCCCGCCGATCTGCGTGAGGGGTGCCACCGAAGTTCAGAAATGTGGCTAATCCCTTGTGTTTTTGCACCCTTGCCCCGCCGATCTGCGTGAGGGGTGCTACCGAATTTGAGAATTGTAGCAAATCCCTTGTGTTTTTGGACCCTTACCCCGCCGATCTGCGTGAGGGGTGTGAATTTTGACTCACCCCAGCAATTCAGACAACACGCTCAGGGCGTGCTAACAATACCCGTTTTGGGCCTGCCCCCCTCGCGCGGTCCATCAACACGGAACAGTAAGCAGCAAGAAGCATAATTGTAACAAGGAAAGGTAAGCAGCAATAAGTTGAAATGTAACAGTGGAAACTGGAAGCTGCAACTGGCACAGGAAACTGCGAACCTTAGCCCTACAGCTTGGTGGCCCCACAAGGGGGCCAGCGGATTGTTGATCTCCAGAAACGGTTCCGCGCGCTCTCGCCTCGACGCCAGCTACATTTCTTTCAAACGAGGCTCCCGTTCGAGCGTTGGTTTGAGCCTAAATGTGGGCCCCTGGAGGCCCAGCTGCGACAACAACGGCTCCCGCTCGATACTTCCTCACACTTTACCCCGAGACACCCTGGCCAGAGAGGCCCCCGAACGCAGGAACGGCGCTCTCGCTCGAGACTTCTTCGCAATTCAATTAAGTTGGCGGAGGTCCAGCCACGACAAGGGCTCCTGCTCGATACTTCCTCACGATTTACTCCGAGGGCCCCTGGCCAAGAAGGCCCCCGAACTCAGGAACGGCTCTCTCGATCGATTATTTCCCAGAATTCAAGCAAGTTGGTGGAGGCCCGGACACGGCGACAAGGGCTCCCGTTCGATATTTCTCCATAGGCATTCCGAGGGCCCCTGGCCCCGGAACTCAGGAACGGCGCTCTCGCTCGAGACTTCTTCGCACTCCAGTCAGTGGCCGACATGGAAGAGATTCCCCCCAAAGGGGGTGCAATCGAAGACGGAGTGGGCGGGTATCGAGGGTTGAGGTATACGGAATGCAAGACAAGCGTGCCAGTAAGAGCGAACAGTCTTAACATGACTGTTGTTGTTGCTGCTGCTGTTGTTGTCGCTCTCGCCCGCGACCCGCCCGCGTCACACCGCGACCCACCCCGCGACCCACCCTGCATCCCACCCCCCTTGGCCCACACCGCGACCCACCCTCGACCCACCCCGCGCCCGCCCTCCCACTCTCATCCGCAACTGCGGAGTGTTGCACACGCTTTCGGAGGCTGCGGATCTCTTGGGTCGGCGGCGTCGAGCGCCCGATCCAGGAAGTCCGCGCGAAGCTTCGAAGGTCTGTGGTCGTGCAGGTGTTCCCTGGTGTCCTGTTGTGGCGCAGCGGTGCGGAGCCTCTCGATTGGCCCGCCCCCCCCCCTCGTCGCCCTGCCCCCCCCTACCTCCTGCGCGCCGCCGGCACCGTCTAGGCGCCCTGGACAGGCGCACCCGCATGGGCTTCCCGCCCCTGGGCCTGGCGTGCCTCTCTGGCCAGGCGCCGGGGGATCAACTCGGTAGGGGGAAGAAGAGCATGCCTCCAGATTCAGGCGACGTTTTTTACTCGGTCTTTTCTCAATCCGGGAGCTTGTCTTGGATGTTGGTCCCTGCGGCCCGTTTTCGTGCCCCAGGGGCATCAAAAATGGAGCGAGGGCACAAGACTGGGCCTGGTCGAGACCTCTCAGGCCGCGCATTGGAAAACATATTTTCGGAGGTCTGGGGGTTATCAATGAAACGCCGTTGGGAGCCCGTCAGCGTATTCTTCCCCCGCTTCTGCCCGAAGACCGTGCGCTTCTTCGGTTCTTCGGCAGTGACACGCTGATGGGTTCCCCGCGGCGGCGTGTCGTTGGTATCGTCTCGGCTCCCCGACAGTGTCACGGGCGTGGGGGAGGGGGAGGGGGAGGCGGAGGAGGCGGAGGAGGCGGAGGCGGAGGAGGGGGAGGGAAAGGCGGAGGAGGCGGAGGCGGAGGCGGAGGCGGAGGCGGAGGAGGAGGAGGAGGAGGAGGAGGAGGAGGAGGAGGAGGAGGAGGAGCTGGAGGAGGAGGAGGAGGAGAAGGAGGAGGAGGAGGAGGAGGAGGAGGAGGAGGAGGAGGAGAAGGAGGGAGCTTTCGGAGGTCCGCGTGAGCTTCTTTGATCTGCTCGGGGGTCCCCCTCCCTGGTGCGATGTCTTGATTTTTACAATGCGGGGTCCCCGGATTTTTGGGCCATGTCACGGGGGCCAGTTTCTCGCCCTGGATCGGTTCTTGACGATCCCAGGGCCCAGCTAGGGCCCCCAGGTGCCGAAAATAAAAATAATCCCCGATGTGTGTTTGCTCAACGCGTTGGGGGTCGGGGTCCCTCCAGGTGGACGCGGCCAGGTCCCTCCTGGCGGGCATGGCCCCCGTGGACTCGGCGGACCTGCGGGGGAACACTCCGCTGGTCTGGGCCTCCCTGGGCGGCGCCGCCTCGGCGCTGGTGCCGATGCTGCTGGAGGCGCGCGCGGACTTGGAGGCCGTCGGGCCTGCGCTGCGGCCCGCGGTCTCCGCGGTGCTCGAGGCTTGGTGGCAACGTCAGAGGGGGGGATGGGCTCCGGGGGGGAGATGCACCGACCCCTCCCTCCTCCCTCCTCCCTCCTCCCTCCATCCTCCCTCCCTCCATTCTCCCTCCCTCCTCCCTCCCTCCCTCCTTCCCTCCCTCCTTCTTCTGGAAGCAGTGGTGTGACGGGGCGAGCGAGAAAGGAGCGGGTCGACTTCACAAGGTTAGTGCCTATCGTGATGTGCAGGCGCCGACGGTAGTGGTTGGCAGACCTGACCAGTGTCAGTCTCATCCTCACCGAGGTGCCGAAGATGCTGAAGACGTTCACATCGCCTTGTGGAAATCATCGACGACGTCGCACTCAGCTTGGTCTCCCGAGCGGCAGGCCCTGCCGCCTGCCAGCGCCGCGGCCATTCGAGCAGTGTTGATTATCTACTCGAAGGTGATCCTAAGTAGCTTTGATGGTATTCCCCGTGTCGCTATCATTACTTGTCATATTCTGGGTTCGAAGTGTGAAGTGTTTGGGTATTTCTGGGAGGCGAGTTACCGGCTCGCCCTCCGGTGTTTGATAGTTTACTTGGATGGTCATGCCGATGCTGGCAACGGTGATGGGCGGGCAAAGGCTCACTATTTTGTGGTCCTCCAGCTACCGTGTGTGGCAGCGTGCTCGCAGTGGCCATTTCGACGCTCTGCAGGACCGTGTGGCTCGTCGCTACTGGGGTGCTGCTGCAGGGCGTTCTGCGATTGACAGTGCGTGGATACTGTCGGTTCGGGCTGAGGCATGCGTGTCGCAGCAGAGGCACACGACCATTCTGATTGCTGACTACAGCAAGTACTACGAGATCACTCCCATGGACCAAGCTCGGAGAACGTTTTGCAGGATGAGAGTTGAGATGGCGCAGGTCAAGTTAGTGTACAACCAATGGCATGGGTCTCGAACCATTCGTAATCGCTCCCATCACTGTACCCGGCCAGAGCATGCTTATTGTGGTCTTCAGCAGGCGGCGGCTATGCGTATATCGTGATGAAGCTCATGCTGAGGAGGAATACGACATGTACATCGCAGTGAATCGGTGGTCTTCTTCTCGTCGTACATCGACGACACTGGGCTTCGCGTGGAGGGAGCGACCAACCAGGAGGTCATTGAAACAATTGGCCGAGCGGTCAAAGGCTTCAGGGCACCAGCTCAACGAGTTGATGCTATTATCGATGACAAGTTCGCGATTGCCAACAGCTCGGATAACATCAGGAAGAGAGTCGCGGCTAGCTTGCAGGTAAACGGCGGTGCTGTTAAGCGTGTTTCTTGTTTTCTCGGTACCCTCTGGAGGCAAGCTGAGGTCAGTACCGAAGACGAGAGCAAAGTATCGTGCACGTGTTCTGATGCATCATAACTCACTTCGGAAGCTCGGCAAGTTCTGCGGTTCTATTCCTGTCAAAGCTAGTCATCGGGCATAGCGCACATCCACAAGATGGGGGCCAATCCAGCTATGATTTTCGGTGTGGAGGTGAACGGGATGAGCGACGCTGAGCTGGAACGGTTTCGCAAGACGTGCCGGTGCTAGCGGGAGCCATGCCACGGTGGGGTGTCGACTTTTGCGAAGCATAACATTGGGCGGCCCAGCTACGAGGGAAGCGTTGGCTCCTGCCCTGCGCTGGTGCCGTCTGCGCTGGAGCGCTGCCCGCCGTCCTCAGGCGGCCACTGTTGGGAATGCTGGATTTGATATCTTGGTGGGTTCATGCGGCGGAAGTGCCTGGTGTCCTCGAAAAGTTTGGCAAGACCAGAGGACCACTACAACGTGCATTTATCAGCGTACAGAGGGCTTCTTGGAAGGTTATTTGCAGTATGTCGTGGCAGAACCATGGCGGCGACTTGGCTGACACCACCCAGATGACCCCTCTCAATCTCGAGATTTTGCCTTCGCAGGGTATCACGGGACAACATATGTTGAGATTCGGCAGCGGATGGTACGACGACCCATCACTGGGGGAGTCCTTCGATTTCCTGAGGCCAGCAGTGCGGCCAGCCAGCAGGAACTCACCAGGCACTTCAATTTCTATCTCATGCTATGTCTGTTTGACGGCGCTTGGACACGTTCGAGGGCCAGGCGGAAAGGCTACACCAACGACGGCAAGTGCTGATGTGGGAAACCTGGAACGTTGGAACACAGTCTGGCAAGTCCCGATGTGACCCGATGTGGTTAAAGCCCGTGCTGAAGCGGAAATTCGCGAGTCTTTCTACCAATCGGTCCGCTTCACATGCGAATATGCGGACGGTCATTAAGTGTTCGTTCTCAAGCGTGTGATGTGGGGGGGTGGCGGGGTTGGTTTTAACGGAGGTCCAGAAGATATGGCGCAGGCTGTGACCGGCCAGTGCATCCATCGTATCTTGTATGCAATTGACGTTCCGTGCTCGGTGCCAGTGCTCCTGGAGCTCCATCGGCCAGGATGGGCAATTGCGGTGCTGAATCCAAACGACCCGACGCCACTGCGAATAATGTGTTCACTTGTCCCTGCCAGCTCACCTCAGACGACGGCAAGAGTTGAGTATCTCCTGTTCGCTTTCTCGGGCCAGGCTGCTGGTGCACTTGCAGTGTTGTGCGCCGATTTGGTGGGCACCATCAACGCTTTGAATCAGCCTGCTGAGTGACGAGTTCGGTCAATTAACATTCTGGTGGTGTCTCTGCGCCTGCCCATGATGTGCTTGACTTCGGTCATATAGATGAGGTCAAGGACGTCAAAGCGCATGGGTCTGGCGAGGAGCACGTTCACCTGGACCCCGCGTCCAAGTGGATCACCGACGGCCGTTCTTTCGCGCGTCGCTTTGCTGAAGTTGCTTCCAGGTGGCGCAGCGGCGCCGATGGGGAATTCCGGGGGGGCTGGGCGGTCTTGAGTTCAAGACAAAGAGCCGGCGTGACCTGGTATGATATTGACTTGACCAACAGCGCAAGCGCTGCCGCCGCCTATTGCAACCTGGCAATGGTGCAGTAAACGGTTGCGCCGGCACGCCTTTCTTCTGCGTGGAATACCTCGCGACCCCCCTGTGCGCGCGCTGGTAGCAGTCAATCAGAAGGGTGTTCTCAGCGATGTGATCTGTCAGGCCACCTCGTTTGTTTTCGCTGATTATGGGGCTGGGGCTTAGACAAGGCGGGGGCGCAAGTTGCGAGAGACGCGCGCCTGGCCGACGGCGCAGGACCTCGAAGTCCTTCAAATTTGAGGAGTCGGGGGGGAACTCGCCGCGAGCTTGCCAGACGCATGGATGCAAGCCCCCCTGTTTGCTAGCAGCTTTGAGTAACTGTAGTGCCTGGCAGATTTGTTGTCGCCGCTGTTGCTCGACCTGCCCCCGATGGGGCGCTGCGGGATGGCCGGGCTGCGCGATGGGACTCGCGCCGCGGAGTGCCTGGCAGGTGGGCGGGCTGATGGGGCCAGATCAGGGCTGGGCAACGGTGGCGTCGTGAATGAGGGTTGCAGTGGAGTCTTTCCCGCGAAGACTGCTGGCGCTGCGGCGTCGGCGTCGTCGGATGCGGCGACGGGCCAGGGCTACTGCGAGGCGCGGGATAGTGGGCGAGGCACGGCGTGCAGCAGGTAAAAGAGAGCGGTGCCTTGTCCTGAGGGGCGCGCGGGCGGAGTTGCTTGCTGCGGCAATGCCGCGGCCGCTGGCCGTGCCGGGCCAGGGGTTGGGGGGGCGCCGACGACGACTGCTGGGGGCGGGTGGGGGGGGCGGGGTCCGAGGGGGCGGGTTCGCGGCGAGAGCGGCAGGTCGGCCAGGGCCTTGGTCGCGGAGGAGGAGACGGAGGGGGGCGCGCGAGGAAGATCGGGCACTCTCGCGCGAGCAAATCGCGGACTGTCAGAACGCGGTGGCGGGTGCTTCTCGAGCCCGTCCCTGCTCGCGTCGCCAGTGTAATTTGCTGGGCGAGCGGGGCGGGGGGAGAGATCGGCGCCAGGGCGCATGGGCGGGTGCTCCTCGAGCCCGCCCCTTCTGACGCCGCCGTTGTCTTTTGCTGGGCAAGCGGCGGCGGGCGAGACGTCGGAGTCAGCGCTGCTGGGTGTGCTCGTCGACATCGCCTCTGCCTGCGTTGCCAGGAGATGGACCTTGGGCCGCGGCCCCTCGCGTCGCTTGCGCGGCCGCGACCGCGGCCCCTGTCGGGCGGAAGCTAGGCTTGAAGCTGCGGCGAGTGCGTCGCCAACCGGCGCGGCCCGATCCAGTTCGGAGGCCGCCGAGGGCGAAGTGCTGATGGCTGGAAGTGCCGCCGGCGCGGCGCCCGCGGGGTCGTCGCGCGGCCCGGCGCCGGCCGTGCTTGCAAGCGGCGGCAGTGTGGAAGATCAGAGGGCAGGAGCGGCGGCCAGTGCTGCTGCTGTCGCTCGGCACCCTGCGACGACGAGGGGCCGGGGGCCATCGAGTGACCCCCGCGCCCAAAGGTGGCGGATGTCCAGGAGGCGAAGTTTTGCGGCGGCATTGCGAGCCAGGCGGCATGCCGGGCCCCCCCTGCTGGGCGGCGCGGGGGCCGACGAGTGGACGTGGCAGTTATGGTGCGCCCCGTGCGTGCAGGAGGCGCCGCGGCTGGGCGGAGGCTGCGAGGGGCAGAAGGTAGCTGGGGGAGCTGGCCGAGGAGGTGCTGCGGGGGCAAGCAGAGGCCGCAGGGTGGCGATGATCGAGCGCTTTCAGATGCTCGCCGAGCTTGACACCCAGGCAGGGCTGCAGGCGGCGGCGGCCCGACGCTGGAGGTCCATGGAGATGGCGCTAGAGGATGTCGGGGGACTCCTCGGCGACAGGGCTCTCAGGGCGGCGTGCTAGGGCGATGCGGGTCTGGATGCAGGGTCCGATGTTGCTGGAGTTCCCCCCGCGTTGCGAGTTTGCGAACTCTTGCGCGCTGTCCGACGGTGTCGGATTTCTGCCCCCCCTGTTCACAGAGTTCGGCATCGCGATGTGCGACATTGATTTCGTTGTCCTGAGGGGGGCGCGCCGCCGCTCGGCGAACGCGCGGGGGGGGCCGTGGCCGTCTGCCGCCGTCCTCGCCTGTGGCGGGGCCTGGGTCTCGTGGGGAGTCTTATCTGATATTGTCGTATATGGAACTATTTTATATTTCCTTATTTGCCGAATCGCAGGAAGTCTCATCCTATCTTACATTGTAGTTGAGTCTACCATGCAATATTACCGCGTCTTATCGCCCCTTATCTCTGGCTATCGAATTTCAGCCGTGTATTTGGTACTATAGTAGAGGACATAAACAAAAACAAAACTTGGTATTTCTTACCCATGCTTTATCTGGCCTTATTGTGCACTGTTGCCTATCTCTATTTAATGTACCAATGTTGTTAAATCTTCTCTTGGTATGTATTTGTCATGCCGAATTTTATGTCCGTCACCAAATCGTATCGTACCTGTTAGTATCTCAATCCATCTGGCCATCTTGTATCATATCCCATACTAGATGGTCCCATCTTATCATGTTCCTACTCCTTCCTCTCGTCCGAAGGAGGACGAACAGGAGCGGGAGCGGAACCTGAAGCAGGAGCAGGGACGGGAGAAAGAGGTGAAGGACGAAGACCAGCACCCACCAATCGCCGACAGGGGCCCGATAGCCCACGACGTGTCGCCGATCAGTCGTCGATGCATCGCCGATTCAAGCTCGTTTGACGTCCCCTCCCTGTGCTGCCCCTCCCAGGGTCAATTTCGACCCGATCGATCCTATTCGATATTGGCTCCAGCCGTCCACATTTGATTCGATTCCAATATTTTGGCGATCCGATGCGACCAAGTGCCTGCATGGCGTTGCTGCGCATCCCGTCGCATCCAAGTCGATTCCGATTCAGCGCCGATGCGGCCGATTCGATGCGCGTTCCGATCCGATCTGATTTCCGGATTTGCTGTTGGTTGCTCCTTCCCCGCCGATCGTTGCTCCTCAGAGGCGTGCTTGGCCGCCTCCCCGCCCGCGGACGCCCTGGGCAGCCTGCTGCCCGACGCCGGCGGCTGTGGGGGCCGCCAGGGCGGCGCGTCGGGGCGGGACCGACGGGGGAGGTACTGCGAGGGTCGTCGTCGTCGTCGTCGTTGTCGTCGTCGTCGTCGTCGTCGTCGTCCTCGTCGTCAGGGCGGCGCGTCGGGACGGGACCGTCAGCGGAGGAAAAGGTACCGACACAGTCGGACCGAGGCACAAGATCGAGGTTGGCTCGGGGAGGGTACCCAATGCTCTTCGCGTCTTTTTAAAGTCCTTGTGCACCCTGGGGAGGGTACCCTTGGTTTTTCTGTGTTTTGGACGGCGGATGGTCTTGTGTTCTTGAAGGATGTTATTGTGGCCTAGGTCCGACCGCACCCCTCGTCGCCAGCCCAGGCAGAGTCATATCCGCTCCTCCTCCTCCTCCTCCTCATCATCATCATCATCCCTCCTTTCTTCTCCCTCCTCCTCCTCCACCTCCTTCCTCCTCCTCCTTCTCCTCCTCCTCCTCCTCCTCCTCATTCTCCCCTCCGTAGCCATTTTGGCTCAAGATGCCTAGTTCCGCAGGGGAACAAGTGGATACCGCTAGTCCGCGGCCAGTGCCAGGGCTCTCTAGCCCGACAGTTTTGTTCAACGCTCCGTGTGCCTCCTGCTGCCCGCAGGTGAGCTTTCCCTGTTCCTCAGCTCGTCCATGGCGCCTCCGCAGCAGCGCAGCGGCTACGTCAAGTGCTACTCCTGCTCGTACGCCTGGAACTGGAAGACCAAGCAGACGTGCTACTGGTGTGGCAAAGCTTTGGCGCCGTGGACAGATGCCCCGCCTCCGGTGCAAGGTGCTTGGGCGGCCCGTGTCTCAGCCGCAGCCCAGGCCGAGGCCAAGTGCACCCAGCAGTCCAGCCCCGAGGGAGGTTGGGAACCGTGGTCATCATGGCCCAAGTCCCGCCGCCGCCGTGGCAAGGGCAACGGCAAGGACCAAGACGACGACTGGTGGGCCAGCAAGAACGACACCCCCAAGGCTCGCTCCGCCGAGGACATCTTGGCGGAGCTCCAGGCGATCGCCCCCCCACATCGACAAGGCAGCCATTGACGGCATCAGGTCGCAGATTCGGCCGCCCCAGCCGCAGAAGCCAGCCGACCTCAACGACATCTACAGCCGCGCCCAGGCTACGGAGCGCCGCTGCAAGAACAACCTGGAGAGGCTGCTGGAGAGCGAGCAGAAGGCGCTCAGCTGGTACACAGAGCGCAAGCAGGCGTCGGAGGAGGCCGCCTACAAGTTGGCTGAAGCCCAGGCGGAGGCCCAAGCGGCTCTCGACGCACTCCAAGCCGCCCGCAAGGGCGGCACAGCTACTTCTACGCCGTCGCAGCAGAACCCGACCTTCAACCTCACCAGCCTCCTCGAGGACGGCGACATCTCCATCGAAGCGGGTGCAGCGTTCGATCTCCAAGGCCTCGACATCGACGACAGCGACCGCCAGGCATGGGAATCCCTGCAACAGCGCTTTGCCACGGAGCTCAAGGCCAAGGTCATTGAGCTCTTCGGCAACACCGCCAGCCGCATCAGCCAGCTCCGAGCAGAGGCCAGCACCATGCGCACGCGCTTCGCCTCCAAGCGGCAGCGCACTGACGAGGATGGGCACGCCAGAGAGGGAGGTGGATCACCGCCCGCCGCCTCGGCTGCAGCAGGCGAACCCCCAGCGGCAGCCGCAGCGGATGCTGAGGGCACTGCGCCCTCTCCGCCAGCGGCGCCAAGCGATGAGCCTCCCGCGCCTGCTGCTGGCGCTTCTTCTGACGGCGGCTACGCCACGCAGCCTGTACCTGCACTCAACAAGGACCCCGACCTCGAAGACAAGGCACAGAAGATGCTCAGCCAGATGCGCAAGCCCACTGCTGCCGCCGCCGCTGGACCGCAGCAGCCTCTTTAGCCGACTACAACCCGACCCTGGGCGGAATGGTGAGACGGGGCGCCTACCGTCAGAGACCACGATCTACGACAACCCACCGATCATCAATACAATGGACGCAGTCCTCGACCCGTTCGACGAGCTGGCCGAGTTGGACGCCCACATCGATTTCGCTGTTTCCGAGCAGCACGCTACCGCCCCGCCCGAGACGCTGTCCTCGGTAGGGGGCGATGAGGCGGCACAGACCGTCGACCCCGTGGTATGGGACCCAGGGCAGCCGCAGCGTGCTACGCGGTCCGACCCTGATGCCGCTCCGCCCGAGACGCTGTCCTCGGTAGGGGGCGATGAGACGGCACAAGCTGTCGACGTACATGTGGTACAGGAACCAGGGGAGCCTTCGCCAAAGGCAAACCCTGTTGCCGCCCCGCCCAAGGCGCAGTCCTTGGTAGGGGGCGATGAGATGGCGAAAGCTGTCGACACGCCCGCAGGGAAAGGGCCATGGAAGCCCAGCAGCCCGATAGCCGACCCTAGTCCCGCCTACCAAGACGAAGGCCCTACGAAGCCCCCGCTGTCAGACCATTCCCTGTTCTTCTCCAACATTACTCAATGGGGACCACAGTCGGAGAAATGGTTGGCAGGACCAGGCAAGCAATATCAGATGGTAGCATTAGTTTAAACGCACATCTCGCCTGGAAAAGCGCCGCCCATCTACGACAAGCTAGCAGCGGATGGTTGGAGAATATCATCGACTACGGCCACTCCTACCAGTAGATCAGACGGCGGCAACACGGGTGGCGAGATCATCTTATCCAGGTACCATGTCCAGGCCACCACGTTCAACCACCTCCGTGACCTTGCCATCTCCCAGCGCAGGCCTGACCCGTTCCTCGGCTTCACGCCCATGGTATGGCACAGACGTTCTGGCAACTTGGTTGTTATTGCCGCGTATCTGGAACCCCACAGGCAGATCGAGGGTGCAGTACACGATAAGCTACTTTCGCTGGGAGCGTTCGTTACTATGCTCACAGACCCTTGGATCATCCTGGCCGATTGGAACATGACACCTGAGCAGCTTGCAGCGACAGAGTGGCTCGCCAAATGGAATGCTACCATCGTGCGAGCACCTGGATCCGCCACTTGCGACAAGGGCCAGGGACTCACGCTTGATTTCGCATTGGTCAAGACTGGCATCGAGCACACGATCTCCATTCGCCAGTGCCCCACAGTACCCTGGGCCACCCACGTTGGCCTTGAAGTTCGAGCAGGCAGTGCAGACCCCTGGTGGTATCAGTCGACCGATACCCCCCAAGTCCTTCCCCATAGTGGACAGACCCAGGATTCCGCCAGACCCCAACAGCAAGACCGCCATCAAGAAATGTAAAACAGCTGAAGCTCGAGCAGCACGTCTCCGTGATCTACCTCCTGAACTCCAACAAGCAGCAGCACAGCTTCAGCCGCAAGACGAGCCCGCAGCACAGGAACCTATCCCCTATGCCATCCCGGTGGACTTGTGGGAAAAACAATGGCAGGAAGCGGTGCCCACGCGTTGTGAGCAGCCACACGCGCACTTCGTGTACAGACACGGGGTGCACGACGCCGACGTCCTCAACCTCAAGTACGCCAAATGGGTCACGGCGCTCGAGAACACCATGATCAGCCACCACCAGATTGACCCGAAGGAAGCTGCAGCATACACTGGCCGAGCTCAGGGCTACCAGTTATCTTGGAAGAAGACAGCTGCTGCCCCAGGCCGCGTACACGTACACGACCCACATTCGGAATGGTGGGCAATTACGTTCACCCTTATCAAGCGCTACGCCGCGCTTCACGACAAGCCCAAGCACACAGCGCTTATGCAGCAGCAGGCCACCATCATCCAGCAGCGCGCGGACCACTTCAACACTCACATGCACGACCTTCAGTTCGAGAAGGATGAGGACACCATCTTCCGCTGGTTTGCGCTCGTCTGGGCCCCGCACCTGGACAAGGATGACACCGGCGACTTGGTCACCATTGCCGCTACCTGGGCCTCCAGAGCCCTCTCGGCCGCCCTCGCCAAGTCCAAGAGGGCCTACGGGGCTTGGCTCGCCCAGCAATGGAAGCACCGCCCTGGAGTACTACACGCCCATGTCAAGCCAGCGCCCGCACGTCACATCGAGGCCTACACGGCCAACCTGACCATCGCTGACCCCACCGTCATCATGGACAACAAGAAGCAACAATGGCAGCAAGTATGGCAAGCCACCGAGACCTCTGACGACATCCTCCAGGCCCTGTCAAAGGCCAAGGCAGCAGCTGCTCATCAACCGCTCGAGCCCATCACAGCCGAGATCGTACGCCGCATTCACGGCCGCATGCCACCCCGTAAAGCACACGGAGTTGACGCCCTAGGACCTCGCGGCCTCCATCGATTACCAGGACCAGCAGTCGAAGCTTATGCAGATATCCTCAACTCAGTGGAGCAAGCAGGCATCTGGCCACTACAAATTTCAGGGACCATTGCAGCTCTCGCCGCCAAGAAGTCTGGAGGCGACAGGGTCCTCGGCATGCTCCCTCATATGGCCAGACTCTGGTCTCGCATTAGATCTACCGCATCGGCAGCCTGGACGCAAGGTCTGGACGACTTTTGGACTACAGCCATCAAAGGCTCTTCAGCTCTCCAAGCCTCCCTACATAGGGCCTTGTTAGACGAGACAGCCTCAGCACTTGGCATGCAGTCGGCCACCTTGCTAGTAGACATTCAGAAGTTCTACGACAATATCAAGCTCGCCAACCTCATCATGGTCGGCCTCAACTGCGGCTTTCCTCCCATCATTCTATTATTGGAGGTGCAGCTATACCTGGCGCCCAGATTCTTGCGCAGTCGGCAATGGGTGAGTATGCCTATCTTCGCCTCCAAAGGCATCATTGCAGGCTCCCCTCACGGCACCACCCTGGCACGACTTATTTTGCTAGCAACTCTTCGACAAGCCCAAGCTCAGGCAGAGCTTGCCCAGATGTGGACCTTCGTCGACGACACTGTTCTTCGAGTCGAAGGAGTCCTACGTGCTTTACAGAAGCACCTCCCCCGTGCCGCCAGGACGCTCTGCGACGGATTAAAGGAGTTCGAGCTGCCTATCTCAGACAAGACCGTCCTCATTGGCTCCACTCCCAAGGTCCGCCACTCGCTAGCCAAGAAGATGCGACAGTACGACATCCCAGTTACTGCGACCTCCACGGCCGTCGACCTTGGAGTTGACGCGGCCGCGGCTACTCGACGTGTACAAGCCAAAGCCAGGAAGCGACAGATCTCAGCCACAGCCAGGTTTCGCAAGATACACCGACTACGGAGCACTGCACAGCAGGCCCGAATCTCAGCTGGACTGTGGCGCACTGGTGCTCTCCCAGAAGGAGTATTCGGTCATCAGGTTCACGGCCTCGCTCGGCATGCTCTACTACGCTGGCGGCGTCAGGCCGCCATTGCAGCCGCGGGCGCTGCCGCAGGCCGATGCCTCACCTCCCTCCTCGGCGCCACTTTTGACGGCATGGACCCAGGAGTTTCCCTAAGGATCGAGTTCATCGAGGCTTGGCTTCAGCACTGGATACGCCACCCGAGCACGCGCGCCAGGATCATCAGAGCCTGGCCAAGGATCAAGACCACCTTGCTCGCCGCTGGCCCCAAGCTGTGGTGTAAGGTCAAGGGCCCCACAGGCGCGGCCATCGCGACCCTGCTGGAGGCTAGTTGGGAGCCGACCTCAGCTACCAAGTGGAGGCGTACGAAGGACGGCTACATCGAGGAGTGGAACCTCCCCCCTGCCGACGACCCCGACCTCCTCGACGCCGACATTCACACAGTATTGCAGGACCTCAGCGAGGATTTACACAGGCTCCTCTGGACGCAGGCCGCTACGCATGCCCATGGAGACACGCTGGCTGGAGGCGCAGACATGGTCACTATCCGCATTGAACAAAGGAGGTTCCTCGCAAACGGCGACTTCAGCGACTGGGCCCTCAACGACACCATCATCAGCGGAGGACAGTGGACCAGAGACCGCCTCCACAACGCGGGCTACCAGATCGACAGGAACTGCGACCGCTGCAGCGCTGGAGTTCATGAAACCTTGTTTCACCGAATGTGGCAGTGCGAGGCGAACGTTGGACCCGAGTTTGAGGCCAGCGACAAGCTACTGCCGCGAGCCTTGGCGGGGGCCGACGCCGACCCCGCCTTGTGGCTCCGTGGCATTCCCTCTGTTGCTCTCACTACGCCCACGTTCGAGCCATTGACTGGGAGGGACGGGTGGGAGTTTGTTGGTGCGGTGCGGGAGGGTTTGCCGTCCTGGGAAGGTGCTCGTAACGCAGAGGGTGAGTTGTTTCTTTTTGGTGACGGGTCTGGCGGTGCCTTCTCTGACGACGTCAGGCGACGTCGCGTCGGATCTGGCCTCGCGGCCCTCCGTTGGAACCCTCCCTCGGCCTCCTGGACCCTCCGCGCGGGCCTCCTTGCCCCCCTCCCAGGCCCCCGCCAGACCGTCCCAAGAGGAGAATTATATGCGTTTTGCCTGGCACTAGAGACGTGCCATCAGGATTTCACGTTTGTTACCGATCACCTAGCCTTGCAGCGTGGTTGGCAGAATGGCAGATGTCTCAGGCCAGGCAGCCTCAGAGGTAAGAAAAAGAATGGAGATCTCTGGCTGAGAATTCGGCATCTCGTGCAGGATCGACCTTGCGGCGTCTCCTCGGTCACGGTGCTCTGGACCCCATCTCATGCCGATCCCCAGACTCTTCACGGTTTTCAGAAATTCCTAGCTCTCGGCAATCAGCAAGCCGATGAGCTTGCGGGAAGCGCGGCCCGCAAGTCGGCCACCCTTGCCCTCCCGCCTGTGCCCAGGACTGACGAATACGATGCTATCGCAGCGATTGTCCGACAGCGGGCACGACTAATCCTACGTTCCTTAGGAAAGAATTCAGAGCCTCGAGGACTGTGGCCAGAGAGGCAACCCACGCAGGAGGCAGCCCCTCGTTCTCTGTTGCAGACCGCGATCGCGGCTTCACAGCACAAATTCGAGCGGTGTGCAGACAAATGGCGATGCTCTGCCTGCCTCATCATCGTCGATGCTTGCCAGGTTATTCCAGCCGCCGCCACGGAGTGTGTACCGCCTTGCCCCCTTCCCGAGTTTGCTGCGTGTGGCGAGGTGCTGTGGTCGAGGGGTCCCCGTGTGATCAGTGGCAAGGCGATACACCCCTCCCACACGTTGGCCACCATCCCCAAGTGGCAAATGTTCTTCTGCGTGAAGTGCGGCCATACGGCCACACACCAGGTCAAAAGCTTACAGTTCCCTTGCCCTCTCACCCACCAAGTGGGAGAGCGCAGGGCCCTGGGACCCACTGGCAAAGGCCTCGAAAACCTCAGCAGGATCAGGCGAGGCCTCCATCCGTCCAGATCGGGTCCCAGCAAGTCTGTTCTAGAGGCTATGCATGTTTCGGCAGCCGAAGCCGCGATCGTTTCTCACGCGGCTGGCGCTGCCTCTGAGTAAATTGTGAGGCCAGGGGGGCCTGTCGCGGTGTGCCGTGGGATGTCGCCCCCCACGGCTCTCCGAGAAATTCTGGATGGCCCCCCTGGCGTCTCTGGGTTCCTGAACGGACTACGTCCGATTGCTCCACTCCACTCTTCCTCATTCTCCCCCATCTCTTCTCCTCGTGTCGACCCGCTCGATCCGATCCGATATCGATCTCGGCCGGCCCGATCCGATTCGATTCCGATGTTCTAGCGATGCGACTCGGCTCGATGGCCTGCATGGCGCCGTTGTGCATAATGTCGCAGCCGGTACGGTTTGATATCGATTTCGTGCCGATGCAGCTCGATCCGAAGCAGATTCCGACTCGCCCCGATGTTCCGATTCGACATTATTTGAGTTTGCTCAGGCGAGTGACAGGTACCTCGGCCGTCTCCCAGAGGAGGGTGGATTCTCTGGACGGGGCTAGGGCGAGGATAGGTCCTTTCCAGAGCGTTCCAGGACGCTCTCAGAGCGTTCCGGGACGCTCTGGAACGGCCGCGTCGCCCGAGGCATCATCCAGAGCCGCCGCATCTCACAGATTCTCGATTCATCCTCACTCGACTTTATGCCTCGTCCTGGCTTTGTCTCAGGATGCTTCTCGAGATGCTGGTCAGGCCGCGGCCCCTCAGATCTGGGCGGCGCAGCACGACTGGCGATACGGCACGTCAGTCGCAGCTTTTGTCCGGCCCCTGGGAGAGGCCGCTACTCGGCCCACCCGGGGGCATGCAGCAGAAACGACTCGCTCGAGATGGGTGCCTCAGTCGGATGTAGCCAGGATCCCCGTGATGGGGAGCCGGTTGGTGATCGGGCCCCGAGGCCCATTATATGGGCTGGAATCACTAAACCAGGTCTGCCATAGCTCGTATTATTTGGGCTGGCGGCAGTCCCACTGAGAGGGATGGGGCGGGGGGGGGCGTCTCCCAGTGTGCATCACTAAACCGGCTCCCGCTACACCCAGTCCTGCCAGCGCCTGGCTCAGAGGAGGAACAGGTACCGACACCGCTACCTTTTACTCGTGTGCGCCCTTGTGGGCCTCCTGCGAGGGCTCTCGTCGCCGCAGCTGGGTTCTCCTTGAGATTCTGGTCAACCGCACCCCTGGAGGGGTCTGGGGAGTGGCGGTATCGGGAAGTACCGTCGTCGTGCTCCTCCAGGACCACGGCCCCGCGCCCGACATGCAGTTCGTAGAGCCGTACCGCCTGGTCCACGCGCTCGGGTCTCGCCCGCCGGAGTCGGCAGGGCTACTGTCCTACGCGGTGAGCATCCTGAAGGCCCCAGTCAGGGACTCCATCTCGGGGCGGGCGACGGGTCAGGGACCTCATCTCGGGGGGGGGGGGGGTAGGTTCAGGGACGCATGCATCTATCCCCAGTCGCCCATCGATCGCAGGTAGGGCCCGATAGCCCCCCCACCCAGAGTGCGTGGATTCGTTGTCGGAGGTTTTCGCCGATCTATCGGCCATGTAACGCCGATTCCAGGTCGTTGTTCTCCCACTGAGCTGGTCCCTCCCACGGTTGCCCACCAAGGGGGGGGTCGTGTGGGGGGAAGAGGTGTCCCGAACTCATCCGCGCGCAGCTGGTTTCGGCTCCACTATCGCCGGCCCTCTCGTCGCTGCACGACCGCTTGACTGATGCCGGGGGCCGCCAGGGAATCCAGCTGCATGCAGCCGATTCGTTACCCCCCCCACGCACTGTCCCCCAAGTCAAGCACTGGCGAACCGTCCCAGCTTGCCTATAGGCCCACCAAAGAATGTTTGAATCAACTTTTTCGTAGTTTGCCCGCCATGTTCTTAGAACATTTGTTATTGAGACTGTCTTTTTTCCCAACCATCCTGTGGTGTTGGGTCCTCGTTTTGAAGAGACCGCGCCCCGCGTCCCACCTCCTTCCTCCTTCCTCATCCTCTCCTCCTCTTCCCTCCTCCCCCATCCTTGCCTTTGCTCTCCGCATGTCTCAGCTCACCCCCTCCTCCCATCATCATCATCATCATCATCATCATCATCATCATCATCATCATCATCATCATCATCATCATCATCATCATCATCACCATCACCATCACCATCACCATCATCATCATCATCATCATCATCATCATCATCATCATCACCATCATCACCAACATCACCATCATCACCATCACCATCATCACCATCACCATCACCATCACCATCACCATCACCATCACCATCACCATCACCATCACCATCACCATCACCATCATCGTCATCATCGGCATCGCCATAGCTGATTCGTTTCGTGGCCCCATAGGGAGCTCCACCGAAGGCCCCAGTGGGGGGGCCAAATGCGTCCCCCACGCCCAGGACAGCGTTTCATGGCCCCATAGGGAGCTCCACCGAAGGCCCCAGTGGGGGGGGCCACATGCGGCTCCCACGCCCAGGACAGCGTTTCGTGGCCCCATAGGGAGCTCCACCGAAGGCCCCAGTGGGGGGGACCACATGCGACCCCCACGCCCAGGACAGCGTTTCGTGGCCCCACAGGGAACTCCACCGAAGGCCCCAGTGGGGGGGCCACATGCGTCCCCCACGCCCAGGACAGCGTTTCGTGGCCCCATAGGGAGCTCCACCGAAGGCCCCAGTGGGGGGGTCACATGCGTCCCCCACCCAGGACAGCGTTTCGTGGCCCCATAGGGAGCTCCACCGAAGGCCCCAGTGGGGGGGGACCACATGCGTCCCCCACGCCCAGGACAGCGTTTCGTGGCCCCATAGGGAGCTCCACCGAAGGCCCCAGGGGGGGGGGGGGGCACATGCGTTCCCCACGCCCAGGACAGCGTTTCGTGGCCCCATATGGAGCTCCACCGAAGGCCCCAGAGGGGGGGTGCCACATGCGTCCCCCGCGCCCAGGACAGCGTTTCGTGGCCCCACAGGGAGCTCCACCGGAGGCCCCAGTGGGGGGGGCCAAATGCGTCTCCCCCACCCAGGACAGCGTTTCGTAGCCCCATAGGGAGCCCCACCGAAGGCCCAGTGGCACAGTTCGCATGCGTCTCCCCCACCCAGGACAGCGTTTCTTGGCCCATAGAGAGTACCACCGAATGCGATGCTCACAACGACGGTATTCACAACTGCATATTGTTGGGTCTTTCGCCAGGCTAATTCGACACATCGGGTCTATGCTTGAAACCATTTTTTTTGTTATTTGATATTTTTGGTTCGGAGAACATGTCGTGGTAGGTCTATAGGAATGCCCGGAAAGGTCAGTCCCTGCCCCCCCCCGGATGCAAATCATGGAAGGCTTGTATGCCCGTGTATTTCCGTGTATGATGTGCGCTAGCGTCAGTTAGCATCTGATAAGCACAGGGACAGCGCCGACTTAGCGCCATGTAGGGCCGACTTAGCGTCGGTTTAGCGTCGATCAGCGCCGATTCGCAAGAGCCAGCAAGAGGGGATGGGAGGCTTCCATGAGTTCCCGCAGAACCCTCCCGGGTCGTCCACCCCGGCCCATGGGCTTCGCGCAGAACAGGAAGGCCAGGGACGCCGCGCGGCTCTCCGCGGAGGAGGCCGCCGTCGGCGTCTGGTCGCACGTCCTCATCAACTACACCCATGCCGGCATCGCGGCGGCCGTGGACACGGGGATGCAGCACGGCGACCCCACCAACGCTGCGAGGATCAGGGGCAACGATGGGGGGGATGGGCCCAAGGGGGGACGCATCGACCCCCGATCGCCCATTGATCGCCGACAGGGGGCCGATAGCCCCAACCTGCCCAGGAACGTTCGAATTTGCTAACGGGGGCGCATCGCCGACCTATCGGCGGTGTATTGCCGATTCAGGGTCAATGTTACTCCCCCCCCCTATGCCAGCCCCCCCCCCCATCGTTGCCCTTCGGAGGAACCGGCAGGCGGCGGTGCTGACGCCCGAGCGCCTGCTCTTCTTCAACGCGGCCAGCTGGTCGCTCTCGCAGGTGGTGTCGCTGTCAGAGCTGGCCGAGATCAGCCTCTCGTCCTACTCCTCGACCCTGCTGGTGCTGCGCATGCACAGCCTTGCGGACGTGGTCCTGGACATCGCCGCCTCCGTTCGCGAGCGGCTGGTGGACGAGCTCGCCCTGGCCAGCAACGCGGTGGCCACCATTCCGGGAGCAAGCAATGATATGAGCATAGACTTTCAGAGGTCCGCGCAGATGTCTCGAATCGTCGCTGGACCCCCCTCCCTGGCGCGGGGAGCGCGCCGGGGGCGACGCCGGAGCCGCCGCCAGGGGGGCCCCAGCGCCCGATCCGAGAGATCCGTGCGGAGCTCCGAGACTTCCTAGTAAAGCCGCGGGGCGGAGCCTCTTCACGGGCCCGTCCCCCCCCCCCCCCCTTTCGTTGCTCTTCCCCAGCCCCCTTACAGCCTCCTCCGCGCCGCCGGCAACGCCTGGGCCCCTCCGAAAGCCTGCGCGTGTGCCGTTGCTTTGTCTCCCCGGCCGTGTGGGGCGGCGCGGACTTCGGCACCACTGGCGTCCGCGTCGAGAACGAGTGCGAGACCAGCCCCCGGCGGCGCGCGCGACGGAGGGCGGGGCGGGGCGGGCGGCCCTCGGGGGGAGGTACTCCCCGCCGCCTCGGAGTGCCGCCAAGACGCTGAGAGAAGGACCGCTCCGGCTTGGCATCGCTCGTCGGAGGAGGAAGAGGCACGGTCGGAACGAGGTACCCTAATGTTCTTCGTGTTTGTTGGATGCTCTCGTGTATCCTTGGGAGAGTACCCTTGGATATGTTGTGTGTTTTTGCTGGCGGAGGGTCTCATGTTCTTGAAGGATGTTCTTTTGTCCTTGGTCGTGCTGCACTCCTTCGCTGCGCTGCCCCTGCCTCGTGTGCGCCGGTTCGGGCCTCCCGGGGGGCCCTCGTCGCCACCGCTGGATGCGCCTCGAAATCCTGGTCGGGACGCAGCCCGGGAGGGGTCCGGGGAGTGGCCGTATCGGTGCCCTCCTGTTTCCCCACCTTTGGCTCGGCATCGCTCGACGCGTGGGCATTGTTCCTCGCGGCGAGGCCAGCGCCAGAACGCCTGGACCATCGAGGCGCACCTCCCGGGCAGTCTTGCGACAGAGAGCAGGCAGGGAGCGGCACCGAGCCCTCTGCACGGGGCAGGGGCGTCCGGGCGATGGCCAGGCGAGCCGAGCAGGGCGCGCCGGTGCTCGATCCGTTCCCTGGGCGCCCAGAGGTGGGGGGAGCCCCGTGCTCGTGGCCGAGGCCCGCGGTGGCCAGGCGAGCCCTTCGATCCCCGTTCAGCGCTCCTGCTGGGGGCGCGACGGCTGCACCTCCCGCCTTCTTTGGGGGTCTCAGAGGAGAACAGCACGGCGTGGACGCCGCTGGTGGCAGTTTTTCCTGTGGGGCAGATTCCGACATACTTTTGGCGCCTTCGTGTTTCAAGAGTCGATCGGCCTTCCCTCGTCCGTCCTCTCCAATGGTCGGGCGGCAGCCCACTCCATTCTCAACGCCTTCCTGCTTCAGGTTTCCACCCACTCCTGGCGTTCCGCGCGAATTTCTTGGATCGGCGCTGGACCCCCCTTGGCGGCGCCTCTTGCGCCGCTCCTGCGCGCGCTCCGCGCGCCAATGAGGGGGCGGCCCAGCGCCGTTTCGAGTTTCTTCGCAGACCTCCCACAGTGTATGTGAATGCCGGTTTTTCCTCTTCCACAGAAGCCCTCTTCGGGCGCGCCCAGGACCGAGATGAATCGTTCTGGAGCGTTCCAGAGCGCTTTGGGAACGGGCGCGGCGCCAGATATGCATCCTCCAGAACCGCAAGTTCCCAGAGATCACCAATTGTATCCTGGTCTGATTATGACCCGGTCCTGGCTTCGTCTCACCTCTCAGAAGCCTTTCAGGTGGGGCCAGCAGTTGCCGAGAAGCTACGCTACGTGCCCTCTCTGGAGGGCGCCACTCCGCCCCCTCCCACCTCGCCCTGCCCCCGTCATGCTCGCCGCCGGCCTTCGTTCCGCTGATGGACGCGGGCCGGAAGCGGGGGGGCACCCTGGCCTTCTTGGAGTCTGATGTGTTCATCTCGGAGGCTGCCAGAGGCAAGAGGGGGAAGACCAGCGCACACGTCGGTCGTTGCAGGTAGGTGTTTAGTTTCTGGATTCCCTGATTATAATATGCTTTAGGCGCCTTCCTACTTCAATGATCGAGTGGCTGTCCTTCTTCCTTCCTTTTCAGGGGTCGGGCGGAAGCCCAATCTACTTCAACGCCTTCCTACTTCATGTTTCTACCCACTTCTTCCGACCGACGGGTAAACGTACAGCTTCGGAGGCTCGCGCGGATTTGTTGGAGAACGGTGCCGGACTCCCTTGGCGGCGCCTCTGCGCGCGAGGGAGAGTGGGGATATCCAAGAAGTCCGCGCGAGCCTCCAAAACCTTAGGTCTACACCGATCTTGTTTCTCTTCTTCTTGCGAGGGCGACCCTTGATTTTTCACGGAGAGCACTCCTGACGAGGTCCGACCCACTCTAGAAGGGGTCCAGATGTTGTGGTCACCTTTGTGCCAGGACCACCTCTGCTGGATACTCGCTGTGGGGATCTTCCTGGGGGCCACCTAATTGACCCTAGTTTGAATATGGTTTGAGTCTAGTTTGACCCTATATGGTTTGAGTCTAGTTTGACTCTAGTTCGACTCTAGCTCGACTCAAGTTCGGCTCAAGCTTGGTTCAAGTCGGGGGCCCCCAAACGGCGCGGTGACCACACCGTGTGGTGAGTCAGTGGGGATTCGGGGTAACCTCACGGTTTTGGGACTCGGGTCGTTCTTCGCCGAGGACGTCTCGGGCGACGGGGGCCTCCGCGGTGTCAAAGCCTGCGGTGTCGGACCGTGTCGTGAGGTTTTGGGGGATTCCGACTTCACCGCACGGTCCGTGGTCCGTCGCCGAACCGTTTCGGGACCCCCAGCCAAGCCGACGGACGCTCGACGCAGCATCGACGCAGGAGTGGGCCACCACCCACCAAACCACCCCAAGCCCACCCGAAGGCCCCAATTTGCACTCCATTCGGAGGGGGGGGGGGCGTCGGGGAGCATTGAAAAGCACAAATGGAACCTGGACCCCCCCAGCCCGAAATTTGCTTGGGTCTTTGGGTTGGATTGGGGTGGTCTGGTAGGTACCCAGTGGGGCGAGTGGCCCCAGGAAGGCCCCCACAACGAGCCCCCGAGAGCCTTTTTTTGGCAGCCTCCGACCCCTCCTGCTGCCCTACGCGCCGTCCTCGGCCTTCCTGGCGGACGGAGACGCCTTTTTCTTTGGGTTGCTCGACATGCACAAGGACCGCCGCCTTTTTTCAGACGAAGCCTGGACGATGATCAATTCAGGTGAGAATGGATCGAGAATCTCTGAGACCCCGCAGCTCTGGAGGATGCATCGGGTGTCGCGGCCTTCTCAGACCGCTCGGGAACGCTCCGAAGGCGTTCCGGAACGATCTGCAACGAATTGTGAAGTCCTGACGGCCGGTGCCGCCGACCCTGCAAGACATCGACGACGACCAGGAGGGGGAGGAGGAGGAGGAGGAGGAGGAGGAGGAGGAGGAGGAGGAGGAGGAGGGAGGAGGAGGAGGAGGAGGAGGAGGAGGAGGAGGAGGAGGAGGAGGAGGAGGAGGAGGAGGAGGAGGAGAGAGCATTCCGCAACGATCTGGAACGCGCTTCACCTCGTCCTAGCCCCGTCCGACCTTTCTTGGGCAGCGGGCACGGCGCGGGCCACCGGCGGCCTCCCCACGGCCTTCGGCGGCCTTGAGCGGGTCCCTCGGTCGTTGCGCGAGTGCGCAGGTCGCAGGCGATTTCTCGCCCCAAGTCCCCGAGTTCCGCTTGAAAAGTCTGGCCGTTCAGAAAAGGGGGGAAACCTTGGGATACTCGGATATGCCCGGCTATTCGGACGCACCCCTAACAGAGGAGGAGGAGAAGGAGAGGAGGAAGAGGAGGAGGAGGGGGAAGGGGAGGGGCAGGGGGAAGAGGAGGAGGAGGACCAGTGTACACCCAAAACTCATCAACGATATTGCAGTAAACCCTCCCTTCAAGTTCCCTCTTCACCGGCTCCCGTACGCATTCGTTTTCACTGGGGGATCTGCCCCATTGTAAGACAACCTTGTGACAGTCCGGGAATGTGCCAGAACGCCAATCCTGTAACTTCGACGCCGCGAATCACCGTTATTGTTGCGTCTTGAGGATCCTGAATCCTGCCAGAACATTGTTCTTGGGACTTCAACGCTGCGAATCGACATGACTGTTGCGCCCTGACGTTCCGACTGTGCCACAATACACTTTCGGGGAAGTTAACCATCATAATTTTTGAATCTCTTGCAAACTCTTACAACGAATGGGCGCGGCGATGAGGCGAGGGCCACATTTTGAAAAGGAGCCGCCCTCCACCCGTGAAGCTCTTGCAAGCTTCTGAGGCGACTGTGCAGTGTGATGAAGCGAGAAACGCATTTTGAAATGGAGGCGCCCTCCATCCTCGAAGCTCCTGCAAACCTTCAAGACGCATCTGTGCGGCGCAAAGGCGAGAGCCACTTTTTTTGGAAACCGGCCGCCCTCCATGCGTCAAGCTCTTGCAGCTTCCATTTCTGAAGACGAAGGTGTTCGGCACTAACGCGGGTGCCACATTTTGAATCTGGACCGCCCTCCGTCCGTGACGCTCTTGCATACTTTCAGGACAAACGTTCGCGGCGCTCAGGCGAGAGTCACATTTTGAACACTTACCGCCCTCCATCCTTGAAACTGTTACAAATTTCAAGCTTCAGGATCATACATTGTAAGGAGGTCTCAGGCGAAACTCCTGGGCCGCCCTTTCGACCGGCTTCGGGGTGCGACAGGGGGGAGTCATCGATGAGGAAACGGAGTGGAAGAGGAGGCGAAGGAGGAGGCGGAGGAGGAGAAGGAGGAGGAGGGGGAAGAGGAGGGGGGGGGGGAGTCCATGTGTTTTCGCTCGAGGTCTCTGTGTGAAGACCGAGTCTCCCGTGCGAGGAGGGCCCAGGAGCTTCCGTGAGCCCTATTGGTCGGTCGCGGCGAACAAAGCCCGCCGACAGCGCGCAGTCACGGGGCCTGGCTGGAAATGGCAGACCTGCTTCTTCGTCCTCAAGTCCGGCGTGGGGATAGCTCGCAGGCCCAGGGGAGATAACCTCGTGGTTTTGCCTCTCTCGCTTCTCCTCCTCCTCCTCCTCCTCCTCCTCCTCCCTCCTCCTCCCTCCTCGTCATTGTTTTTTTCGAGACGTGCTGGCGGACATCGTTGAGATCCCCCCCCCTGGCCTCAGGGGCAGCGCTCTGGGGGATAGGCTCAAGGGGGGACGCATCGAACCCCGATCGTCCATTGATCGCCGACCGATTGGGGGCCTGATGCCCACTCGCCCCACTCATCCAGTGCTCGTGCGGTTTTGTCATCGAAAGCATATCGCCGATCTATCGGCGACGTATTGCCGACGTTAGGTCGAGGTCCCCCCCCCCCCCCAGAGATGGTCCTCCCCTATCGTGCGACCTCAATGTCACCGCTCCCTCACCGCTCCCTCCTGGCACCCCCTCCCTGGCAGGCTGCTGTGGACACTGCATCCCAACGACGAGGTGCCCGTGGGGTCTGTCCACCTGAGCCAGGAGAACCTTTATGGGGTGGGGAGGAGCAGGAGTGATAGGACGAGCCGGAACACGATCAGGAGCAATAATCGAATAAGACGCCTTTACAAACGCACACTTTCGCAGCTGCGCGCGGATTTCTTGGATCTGGGCTGGACCCCCCTGGCGGCGCTTCTAGGGGGTCTATTGCCGATCCAGTTAAATCCGCATAGACCTCCGACAGTTTAGGTTTATGCACGCCGTGTTTTGTCCGTAAAATTAGAAAGTAGATGGAAAGGAGGCTGATGCACGACCCACATCGTACGTCCACCGTCCCACCACGACTGCCCCCTCTGAAACTACCACTGCCAACGCGGCCGCTGCGGGCCACCTGGTGTACAGCAGAAACGAGAGAGGTCTGCCGAAGATGAATAAATCACGTGAACATAAACTGTCGACGGTACTCGCGGATTTCTTGGATCTGCGCTGGAGCCCCCAGGCGGCGCCTCCAGCGCCGCCCCTGGCGCGCTCCGCGCGAAACGTCGTCAGTTTTTGTTTATGCCGTGTTTATGCCACCTGATCTCGAGTAGGGGATCAACTACATAATTTATGTATTCTAAACTCAATTGTGTCCGTCGGGTCTACGAACAAAAACTAAAGCGTTTAAAAGGCTCGCACATATAAGAGTGTTCTGCACAGGTGTCGCAGATTCGACGTACAACTCAATTTGGGGGTAACTCGATTCTGCAGTCTGTCCCCTACTCGAAGACTGGGGAGACCAGAGACGAAACAAGAGACGCGACTAGAGACAGAAAGACACCAGCAGGGCAGCACTCGAGCGGGGCATTCCCACGGCGCAGCGCCCCCAGAGAGAGGGGGTTGGCTGATCGCCCCGCTGTCCCGCACATGCTTGCGAAGGTTATTCGGCCACGCGCAGAGGGGGGTACAGTCGGACCGAGGTATAAGATCGAGGTCGGTTCGGGCAGGATCCCGTAATGTGCTTCGTGCTTTGTTCGATGTTCTTGTGCATCCTGGGGGAGGGTACCCCTGGATGTTCTGTGCGTTTTGGCCGGCGGAGGGTCTTGTGTGCTAGGTCCGACTGTATTCGGCGACGCGCAGAGTGGGCTAGGGGGAGCAGGGAAGGCTTCGCCAAATTATGTGCTAGACCGCGCCCGATGCCTCTACTCCTTTGGCCGAATGCCGAGTACCCCACGTGAGCACACCACAGCTCGGCGCCGCTGGCATGCACACATACTGTCAAGACTCTGAAAGAAACCGTTTTCGGGGTTCGGGAGAGGCGCTTGCCTTCGTGCCGCTCCTCAGGCCTGGGTCGGGGAACCTCCGCGTAGAGTGGGGCCGTCTCGGCGCAGTGATGCTGCCCTTCTCGTTTCGGATGTGGCCTCAGCAGCTGCTGCCAGCAACCCTGGTCCCCCTCCACCAACGAACGGCTGGATGCTTTCCGAGCACGGGCGGCCGTTCGGGGGCAAGCCACTGCCGAGAGCCGCGCCAGGCAAGGTGTCCGAGAGGTTGACGCACTGGCTGCCAGTGGTCGGCCCGCCTGCGCTCTGCTCCGGCGGCCCCCTCAGCACAGAGGCCCGCACACCGTGAGCAGGCTGCCGATTCGGTCACGGGGCACCCGGCTCGAGGCGGCGCGGAGACCCGCGGCGCCCCGCTGCCCGCGGCCGAGGGGCTGCCCGCCCTCTCTGCGGGAGGGCAGTGCGGCCGAGCGAGTTCCGCACCTCGCGCTCCACGCCGCCCGGAGGCCGGAGGCGAAGACCGACGTCCGACGCCGAGCCAGGGCTCGAGCTAAACGGTGTTTCGGCGATTTCGTGGACCGTTTTCGTTCTGATTTCGTTTCGCAGCAACGGCATAGCGAGGGCAGAAACGGAAACCGAAGACAAACCGCAAAAGGAAAGCACTTTTTAGCTCGAGCCCTGCCCCGAACCAAACCTCCTGGTCGGTTTGTGGGGTCGCTGCGGCGTCCACAAGTTGGGGCAGGGTTTTGCCAAGGAGTGGCACGCCGACGCGGCTCACAATTAGCCATGTAGCGACAGAGAGCTGTCAACTTGTGTCCAACATTTGCAGTCACGTTTTCCTGTTAGAGGTCGATTTTCACGTAACCACACAGGGTGCCAGGAGCATGAACTTCGAAGGTCTGAGCATACGCTTCGGGTGAGGTTCGAAATTCGACGTGTTCGATCGCTTTCGTCGGTTCTCGGCGGCTTTCCAGCCTCTGGATGCCCAGCGGCTGCGCCTTGCCGAGAGGCGTTTAGGGGGTTCTGGGATCGTCACGAATGGCCGCTGGAGGGCCGAGTTATACCCCTTCACGCTCAAGGGGGGAAGCAACAACCCGGCCCCACAACTGGCGTTCACTGAACGGTCCTGGGCGTTTGCTACGCAGTCCTTCCCTGTTCGATTCCCGCCCTGCTCTGTGCGCTTTTACTCGAGAGCTTCGCTTGATGGGGTGCTTGTTGTCAGGGTGGTTCTCTTCTGTCCTCCCCGCCGCACCCTCCGGTAGCGCCTCGACGCCGCCCTGGGCGCGTTCCGTGCGCCGAGGGATGGGATGCGGGGACGGGGATCCATCGACGACAGGAGGACTCCGCGTGGACCTCTGGAAGTCTGTGAGACTGCCGTCTTCCTGGGGCCTTCCAAACCTGGCAGGACCGACGCGGAGCTCAGGATACCAACTCCACGGGGCGCCGTCCTCGGGCCTCCGTCGTCCTGGCTTCGCCACGTCGCGGGCCCCTCTGAATCTCTCTTGACCCGGTCTCCGGGTCGAGAGGCGGGTGGTAGCGGGGGGTGGCCCAACGGAGGGATGAAGCAAAGGGGCCCCGAAGGGGCCCTTATCTGGCCCCTGCTGGCTCCAAAGGGGCCCTAAGGGGCCCCTTTCGGGCCTTGTTCTTCACCCCCCATTGAGGTCACCCCCCACTACCATCGGGTGTTGCTGGAAGTGCCCCTGGCCCAAGGTGCTCCCAGGATTCCAAGGAGGCCCCCATGGTCTCCCCAGAGCACCCCTCATGAGGCCAAGAGGGCCCCAGCGCTTCCAAAATGGAGCGAAAAGCTGGAGGCACTTTGGGCCAGGGGTACCTTTAGCAACCCCCGATGCCACTCGCTGGAAGGTCGGGGGTTGCCAGAGGTGGTCCTGGCACAGGGTGCCCCCCCCCCAGCTCTTCGAGTCATTGTGGAGCTGTGGAGCGCCTGGGCCTCCTCCGGGCCTCGTGAGTGGTGCTCTGGACGCCATCTGGGCCTCCCTGGAGATCCTGGGGGGGCACCTTGGGCCAGGGACACATCTGGCAACACCCGACCAGGCTCGAAGAAGAGACGACTACATGAAACTTCCAGAGGTGCTCACGGATTTCTTGGATCGGCGCTGGCCTCCCTGGCGGCGCCTCTGGCGCGGCCCCCTGGCGCGCTCCGCGCGCCAGAGGGGGGTCTAGCGCCGATCCAAGAAATCCGCGCGGAATGTCGAGAGATTATGCTTATGCAGCTGCTTCACCTCCTGCAGTCTGCTCGGGACCAAGGGCAATGCCCCGTCGCGTTGTCCCCGGACGTCGCCTCGCCCCAGAGCCTGCGCGCGCCCAGCGCCTGCCGCAGGCCTGGAGGCGCGCGGAGGCCCGCGCCGGGCCCCGCGCCGGGCCCAGCGCCGCGGCAGCGCGCGCGCGCGCCCAGATCCGTGCGGTGCAGGCGTTGGACACCCCCGACGGCGAGGCACCCGGCCCTCCCGCCGTCCCAGCCTCCCAAGGGGGGTCCGAGGAGCGGGGGCAGAGCAGTCGTCGTCGTCGTCGTCGTCGTCGTCGTCGTCGTCGTCGTCGTCGTCGTCGTCGTCGTCGTCGTCGTCCTCGACGTCGTCCTCGTCGTCGTCGTCGTCCGCGTCGTCGTCCGTCGTCCGTCGTCGTCGTCGTCGTCCGTCGTCGTCCGTCGTCGTCGTCGTCCGTCGTCCGTCGTCCGTCCGTCGTCCGTCGTGCGTCGTCCGTGGTCGTCGTCCGTCGTCCTCGCCGTCGTCGTGATCCGCCGCGGCCGCAGCCGCAGTCGTGCCTTGGTCGAACACTCAGGACGTACCAGAGCAGGGGCAGAGGCGGCCGACAGAGAGAAAGTCCCGGACCCCGCAGCCGCAGCCCCCGAGGGCCCGCGCCTGCACGCGGAGAGCCCCCGAAGGACGAGCGGCCCGCCCGACGCCCGAGCGAACGCACAGACCGCCCACTCCGCTCGCCGCGGGCGCCTTTTCTGGGGCCCCCCGAGGCACTGGAGGATCGCCGATGCGTCTGCGATGCGGCGCGATGTGGAGCCCGAGCTTCTCTACGCCGACGCCGCCGACGGGTGAGGGTGACATTTCGGGCCGTGCATCTTGAGGAGGGTTCTAGCGACTTTCACATTGTGGAAGAGACCCGCTCTCCACCTTTGCAAGTGCTGGGAACTTGTCAGGGCGAATGTGCGCAGCGTGAAGGCGAGAGCACCATGTTGAAAACGAGTCGCCCTCCATCCTTGTAACTGTTCGAAGTTTTCGAAGTCGTCAGCGCGTGGCCCTATCGTGAGAGCCACGTGTTGAACACGACCCGCCATCCATCCTTGCAATCGTCGAAGGCTTTTGGTGAGCCTTGTAGCGCATGTAGGTTGTTTAAGGCGACTTTGCTCGGCGCTGAGGCGAGAACCACGTTTTGAACACGACCCGCCTTCCATCCATGTAACCGTTGAGATTGTTTGAGCTTCGGGATCGCAAATGGTGAGGAAACCTCAAGCGAACCGCCTGGACTGCGCTACCGACACGATCAGCGGTGTTTGGAGGATTTTCATTGTATTGGGATGTGGGATGAAGCGGGAGCATGACTCAGATAGGGAGAGAAGAGAACTGAGGAGGTAGAGGATGAGGAGACGGCGGAAGAGGATCAGGAGGAGTAGCAGGAAGAGAAGGATGACGCGCAGTACTATACGAGAGACGCGATGACGGTTCGAGGGGATTCTGCTCGTTGTCTGGCCCCAGTGAGGTTCTGAATCCGACATTATGCATCTCGAAGGCATCATCATGCGTTGATTGACTGTGCGTATTGAGGGGAGGAATGATGATGAGGAGGATCGGATGCAGAGGAGCAGAAGCAGCATGATAAGAAGATGAGGAGGATGCTGAGGGGAGGCAGGTGCGGAACCGGGTAAGGAGGTGGCGGGAGGGTGGACGAGCGAGGATAAAAGTGGGAGGAACGTTTTGGAATGTGTTGCAAAGTGCAGCGCGCAGGGCAGGACAGGGAGAGGAGAGAGAGAGGTGGCCGGCGACCGAACCTCCCGTCACACCCCTGCCTGCAGACCACAGGCACGCCCAGCACCTTCGGCCCCTCATAACGGAGGGTGCGGAGGGTGCGCCAACAGGCGTGTGAGAGACGGAGTTTAGTCGCCGCCAGGCCACCAGAGGCTCACCTCAGCCTGAGCTAGAGCCGTCGCCGTCTGGCACGGACACGCCGGGGCCAGGATCTCCACTTGCGCAGCGACAGAAGGCGGTGTTCCTGAGCTCAGGCCCTTCCGAGGGGAGCACGGGCGACGCCGGCTCCGACAGGCTCGAAGCTGGCACGGCCTGACGGTCCGCATTGAACGCACGGTGACATTTCGGCACGAGCGGTGCACCCACGACCCGAGCGCGCAACAAGTCACGAGCCGCTCTTGGCGGTCCTGCACACCTGGCCAGGTTCTCCGATCCTGGCCAGTTCTGCTGGACCGCTACGAGCTCCGGCCAGGTTCTCCGACCCTCTGCGCGAGACCGGTTAGCACGCGCTGGTAAGCTGTTTGCCGTCGGCGGCCGCGATGCGACCGCGCCGAGAGCAAGGGTGAAGATGGTGGGCGTCCCAGGAGCCCAGGGAGTGGGAAGGGTCCAGCAACATGCCGCAGACATGGATCGGCTTCTGGACATACTTTTGCGTCGACGGTTAGGCAGGGTAACTGCGCTTGCGGAGGGCTACGTAAACGGGGCTACCGCTGCAGCGAATTGTGCCACCATGCAGGAGGGAGGGGAAAAGGCGGAGGAGGTGGCCGAAAGAGGGGAGGAAGGAGCGAGCCGCTCAGGGGGACGCGTCACGCCCCGAGCGTGTGGCGCGGCCGGCCCCGCCGGCGGGCCCGCGGCGGCTGCTGCACCAGGGGGCCGGCAGCGGCGGGGCGCAGTGCGGGAGTACCACCCCAGGGGGCAAGCGGCTCCTGGACACGCACACACACACGCAACCACATCCCGGTCCCTGGGAAAACCGTGAAGCCCGTCGGACGGAGGGTCGCACTCGCATTCGAGGCTCGGATCCGAGGGCCTCGAGGAGGTCTTTCTTCTGGGACACCAGACTGCGCTGCTGGCAGCAAAAGCTTTGCTCACTGGTGCAGACATGTGCGAGCTGGCTCCGGCAGCAACTTCTAATTTAGAACCTTTTTGGGGGCGGTCCGCCTCTGTGTTAGATCGTTCCCGTTTGGGGTCCGCGGCCGCGGCGTCAGCAAGCGCCTTTCGAGCTTTGCGTCGGAATAAAGCTGCTGTGACGTCCCAAGCGTCAGTCTTAGGTTCGGAGGTGACCGACATCTGCCAGGATCCTTCAGCCGCATCTCCCGCTGCCTCATCAGCAAAGTGGTTTCTTATCGCAAGGAACTGTTCGTGCTCAGAGATGCTTGTAGTGTCGAGCGAGACGTGAGAAGGAGTCCACTCGACCGTGAACTGAGAATTGCCACGAGCGTCTGGGGCGCAGCGGATGCGCAGCCACATATCGCATATTCTCCCGTCCAACCTCCAAGGTCGCCCCCGCCTCCACCCCACCCACAAGGGGCTGTGGTCCGTAGCGAAATGCACTGGACCTACAGTGGCCTCCAGGAACAGTTCAAATGCCTGGAGCTCCGAGCGAGGGACCTTTAGATTAGGCCCTCTGAGGAGACACCGGCCTCAACACAACAGCATGAAACCCTTCTTCGGGCCCTGCACGCCTCACAACAACAACCGCTGACCCGCCTCCAGAACCATCTCCGAAGCCATCCAGAGGTTCTGAACCTTCAGAAGCCGAGCACTCTCCAAGAGAGCTGGCGCCTAGGTGGGCTTTCTGAGGTCCTTTTGGGACTCTGCAGAGACAGGGTAAGTGAGTCCCACAGGAAGGACCCCCTGAGCCATAAAGAACGCTGTGAGTCATACGACGCCAACGCCTGAGGGACAAGCCTAAGTATACCCATCAGGCATCTTAACCAAAGTAGCAACATATCATGGGCCCCAGATTTCGTTCAAGGGATCCTAGAATCTGGACTGGACCCTGGGCGTTTCTTTGAGCCTCGTTTATTCTTATAGCGATATCGGGACGTGGGCTACTGTCTAAGAAAACGCATGGAATGAAGTCCATGTTCTTAGCGTGAGTAGTTTGAAGCGTAAGCAGGGGCGTGCATGTCTTCTCATAATCGGGACGATCCTTGTTGCACGGGCAGTGCCAGATCCGTTGGCGAGGAGTTGAATGTTCCTCGCCGCACTGGGGACGCCGTCTCTGTGGTGGGGCTCGGCGGGAGCTGCCGATCTTCGGGCCGTTGCGCTTTTGGGGTGGTGCAGGAGTTCAGCCCGAAACTTCGAGTATGGGGATCGACTGCAGAATTGATGCATCCCTGGATCTACTTTCTCGTCGAATCTACGAACACTACGTTGCATGGTGGTAGAACCAATACACTCTTTGCATGTTTCGCAGATTCGGCTGAACATCAACTTTGGAGTAAAGCAATTCTTTAGTCGATCCCCTACTTGAAAACTGTCCAGATTGCCCTTTTTTGCAAAACGACTGAGTTCCAACCTGGCCCCCCCAAAGATCGCCTCTGGACTCGAACCCCTCTCCGTCCCCATGAGAAGCCGCCAACTCTCAGGTATGTGTGCACGACCACCTGAACCGAAGTCGTCAAGGAACTCCGAGACGTCGACGCCCTTCGGATCATAATCGGCCAGTCTGGAAGTAGCAACTCGAGAGCACCATTAACCGTTCTGCGCCGTTCAAGTGCACTGCTAGCCTGCCAGCCCGCGTCCATCAACGTAGATATCACCGCCGAGATCGAAATTCTCGCCGAGATCGGATTTCTGACCAACCTCCAGCTGCCTTTGCCTGCCCGTTCCAGCCGTCGATGTATGTGAGGCCATGCCGACTCTACTCGATGGTGAAGACTAGGATATGCCTTCCACAGTGTTCAGCACTCTGGCAAAAGTGGTCCGTGAAGTCTCTTCTTGCGTCTTTGGGACCGATTGACAAAGCCAAGGCCGTGGTACGACACCGCCCCTTCATAGGTGCAACACTCGAATTAGCTGCCTGACGACGCAACTTATGCTGGTAGGGACAGACCTTGACCGTGATGCCCGTGAGAGGTTCGTGGCAAAGCGCCTGTTGACCAGAACCTTCTGGCTTCTGAACGTGCATGGCGTCGGAGTTGAAATGCACGCCCATATTGGCTTCCTCTGTTCTGTCCGCACAGTCCATCGTGATCGCATGCAACAGACTCGTGGCGTTACGTGCCCTCCGTTTTGATCATCGTGTCGCCGGAGAAAATCCATAAACCCGCGAAACTGGCCTCTTCGTGCGCTGCTTGAGGTAGTGGATGGATGAACATTTTTGCCAAACGAACTCCATGAGGTGATCCTGACTCTAAAGACCTGAGGCGAAACTCGCAGCCGAGGCGCCTAACGTGCCTCTGATATACTTTGGGCCAGCACAAAGCTGCAACTCCAACAAGACCACTGCCGGTGGAAGTTCGAGCTCGCGGGTCGTTTTTTCCAGGAGCAAGGCGAGTCGCAGATTTTTTCGAAACCGAGCAATAAGGTGACTAGTGCCAGGAGTCAGACCTAAGGCACCTGCTGATTCGTCGAGCAATGACCTGTGTAGTGCCGCTCTCAAGGAACCAGTGTGAATCCAAGGCGCATCAACGATGTTGCAGAACGTCCTACCTCCAATCTCCTTCTTCTTAGGGCCCTGCATGAATCCATTTTCATTGCGGGACGGGCCCATTGGACGACAACTGTTCGAGAAATCTCAGTCGTGCCAAAGCACCATTCCTGGGATTCCAGTTTTGCGAATCAACATGACTGTTGCGCCCTGCAAATTTTAATCGTGCCAGGAGGCCATTCCTGGGAATGTAGCGTTGCGAATCAACGCGACTGTTCCGTCCTGGCGATCCTAAAGCTTACCAGAACATCCCAGGGGATTTCGACCATCTCTGAAATGGTTGCAGAACGTTGCAACGAATGTGCGCATCGTTAATGCGATAATCACATTTTGAAAGTCACCCGCGCTCCATCCGCGAAGCTGTTGCACTTTTTCCAGACGCATGTGCGCGGTGCTCAGACGAATCCACATTTTGACAACCACCCGTCCTCCATCCATTGAGCTATGGCAAGTTCGTTTCAAACAAATGTGCGCGGCGTTCAGGCGAGAGCCACATTTTGAAGACGGCCTGCCTTTCATCCTTGAATCGAAGCGCCTTCCATCCTGAAGCAGGAGACAGGCGGAGGAGGACAAGTGTAAACCCACGACGCATCAACGATGTTACAAGAAGCCCTCCCTCCACGACCTTCCTACATAGTCCATACAATGGCTTACTGTACTTGCGGGAAGTGGCCTTAGAAGACAGCTGTCCGAGAATCCCAAATCGTGCCACGCCATTGTTTCTGGGACTTCAACGCCTCCCATTGACATAACTGTTTCGTCCTGACCACCCTAAACCGTGCCAGAGCACCACTCCTTGGATTCCAACACAGTGAGTCAACGTGACCCTTGCGTCCTGACCATCTTAAATCGTGCTGGAGGACTATACCCGGGATTTCAGCCATACGAATCGGTCAAATTGCTATGACAGCTTGGGGCGAATCTGCGCGGCGCCAAGGCGAGAGCCACAGTTTAAACAGGAGCCGCCGTCCATCCGTGAAGCTGCTGCGAGCTTTTGGAGAGAATGAGCGCTGCGCTGCGCCACACTTTGGAGAGGACACGCCGCGCCCTCCATGCCTGCAGCTCCTGCAGACCTTTGCAGCTCCGATCCGTGATCTCGGCACCCCGACAAATCCGAAATGGTGGACAGGCCGTCGTGGGATGATTCTCAGTGCGGCTGCTGCCGCTTGGTCAACGGGCGGGGACCGACTTTCATGCGAATGTTGAGCAGGGGGCTCGATGGCCCGACGTGCCCTCGCTGTCCTGGTCACTCTCCAGGTCGAAGATGGAGGCTCTGTCCGCGGGATTGTATCTTTCGCCTGGGCGGTGTGCTTCCAGGCCGACTCGGGTCGGGCGATCGAGCTGGTCGGGCCCCGCAAGTGGCCTGCGCGTGGGGCGCCGCTTCGGCGGGCAGCTCGGCAATCCAGGTATAGCTATCTTTCTGGGTCCGATTCAGACCGGGCGATCGAGCTGGTGCCCTCCGTCCGCGAAGCTGCTGCTTGCTGCGAATACGAGACTGTGCGCGGTGCCCCGGCGAGAGCCACATTCCTGAAATCGGCCCGCCCTCCACCCGTGAAGCCGCTGCAACCTGCAAGCTTCAGGATCATGCGCGGGGAGGCAATCTCGGGCGAAGCGCCCAGTCCGCTCTCGACACGTCTGGGGGCTCGACAGGGAGGAGCTATTCGGACGACGACGAGGAGGAGCAGGAGGATGAGGAGGGGGAGGCGGAGAGGCGAGAGAGGGTGCAGGAGGCAGGCGTGAGGAGGGACCTGGAAGCTGGAGAGAGGTGGGACGATGGGAGGCGGGAGAAGGGATGACCGTGGAGGGGCGAGGAGGCGGCTGCCCAACCTCGAAAGGCCTGCCTGATCGTCGACTGGGGCGGCCACGACGCGTCCCACGCGCTGACCCTGCGCTCCAGCTCCCCGCAGACACGTCAGGACGCCCGGGCCTCTGCCGCCAGCCTCGCCGAACCTGGCCTGTGCAGCAGGGGCAGGCTACGCAAGTACGTGTCGTGGACAGACTGCAGGAAAGGTGCGTTTGACTGGTCGCGCTCTGGAGAATGGTGTGCGTGTGTGTTAGTGTGTGTGTGTGTGTTAGTGTGTGTGTGTGTGTGTGTGTGTGTGTGTGTGTGTGCGTGCGTGCGTGCGTGCGTGCGTGCGTGCGTGCGTGCGTGCGTGCGTGCGTGGGCGATTGGGGCTGCTGGTCTAGTTTGGGCGGGTTCAGGACCAGGATAAGTCGCTCAGAGCGTTCTGGAGCGCTCTCAGAGCGTTCTGGAGTGCTCTGGCACGGCCGCGGCGCCCGATGCATCCTGCAGATCTGCCAGATCTCAGAGATCCCCGGTTTGTCTTGGTACGATTTTGTCCTGGTCCTGGCTTCGTCTTACGAGCTCACTTTCCCACGCAAGGTGGCCAGTCTGCTTTGAGCGCGTCCCGTCTCAGCTGAGCTGACTTGTTGTCTGCAACTTTTTCTGCTGCGTTGCAATACAAGGTGCTAAATTCTGGCCGTGCGTGCCGCGCCTCGGGCCCATACACACACACATATATATATATACACATATCTGTGTATATCAATATTTACATACATCTATATTCATATATATATATATATATATATTTAACTATGTAAATATATAGTTATATACACAGACATTTTACTACATCTGGTACTGGTGATATTTCCGCTGACAATTTCCAATTTCCCGAGTGGTAGGGCTGGCTTCGTCTACGCCCTGGATGTGTGAACAGGCCGGAGTTGTTTGAACCAGAGGCTACCTGCTACGCGGTCATGCAGGAGCTCCACTGTCCACACCCAGAGTGTGAGTTTTCACTTGCAACCCCGCCCTGCAGGCCAGCAGTGGACATGGATAAAAGCTACCGACGGCTCTCCAGAGAACTATCTGCATGCGACTGGGATTTTCGTGGCCAGGCAGCGTCGAATCGAAACCGAATAGAACGCGGAATCTTAGAATCGGCACCCTAACATGGGGGCAGCAGAGAACTGCGACCCCAGAAGGGTAGTACGACACGGTGGAGTCCTGGAGGTTCAAGAAACAGGATTTGCTTACGTCTTTGATAACGGCGCAGGGTGTGATTTATTTTTTTTGGGAGGCCCAAGTTTTCTGCGCCGTCCATGAAAACGAGATCAGCAGCGATAGTGGTCACATATCGGCGGTGGACGCCTCATCTGCTCTCCGCTAGTTGGTGTTATTGGCGCGTCGGAGTTAACAGAGCGTGTGCGCGTGCGACCTCGACAAACTTATGCCCGCAGTATCTGTTATGTACACAGTAGTCTGTCCGAGCATCTGATATGGTAAACATCCTTCCTGGGTGCTGGTTCAAAGGTGTGTGTGTGTATGTACGTGTCGACTTTCCTTCTTCTCTGCTTAGCGTCATCGCTCAGCAGAGAAGAAGGAAAGTCGACACGTACATACACACACACACACACACCTTTGAACCAGCCAGCATCTTCTTTCTTTCCTTCGTTTTCCTTCGTCCGTCCTCTTTCTTTCCTTCGTTCGTCCTTCCTTTTCCTTCTTTCCTTCGTTCATCCGTTCCCTCCCTGCGGACGTCCTCCTCGCTGCGCCTCCTCACGCGCCAGACTCCGCTCCCGCCTCCTCGGGCAGGCGAGTCCGGCACGCCTCCTCGGAAACGCCCTCCGTCTCGCGACCTCTCCGGTGGCGGGAGGGGGGCTACACCTTAGGCGATGCTTAAGAAAACCTAAGTTTTCGTCCTGAGTCTCGATTATTCTTAACTTTTCAATGTAAATCCCAAGATTTTGATAGAAGTTCTGGGTTTTATTCACTTTCTGAGACTATGAATTTCTTAACCCATGATTTCTTAAGCATTTCGCAGGGTGTAGGCGCTGAGCGCTCCGGGCATTTTGCCCCCCCGTCCTTCGCCTTTGTCTTCCTGCCTCGCCTCGTCCCTGCACTGCCACTGTTATAGGGTTTCCTCTCTTTGGCCTCTACGCAACTGCCTTGCGGGATGTCCACAGCGCTGCTGGTGCCCTGCCAACTTCACCCGGTTGGCTGTGTGCTGCTGCCTCTGGCCACGCGCTGCGACCTCCGCGTGGGATGCCCCGTGGCGGGCAGTGATCCTTCCTTCCCACCCCTCCCTGGATGGCTATGTGCTGCCCTCCGCTCAGGTGGCAGATGCGGCGATCCAAAGCGATCCCGCTTGAGAGCCTAGCCGCCCGCGCCCGTCAGCATTCGACTCGCTTCGCCTCGGCCCGGCCGCCTGCGTTCGTCCGCATTCGACTTGCTTCGCCTCGTCGCCTCGCGCGAGGCCGCGACCGCCGAAAAGGGTGTGTGTGTGTGTGTGTGTTTGTGTGTGTGTGTGTGTGTGTGTGTGTGTGTGTGTGTGTGTGTGTGTGTGTGTGTGTGTGTGTGTGTGTGTGGGGGGGGCGGGGCGGGGGGGCGGCCTGTTGCTGTACTGCTCGTCAGTGTCTTCGGGCGTTGCCTCAATTTCTCAGTCGTCACCCACGCCTGGCTGGCCTATGGGCGGTCGATTCAATGCGGTCCCGTGTCTGAGGGCCCAGCAGCGCGCGTCAGTTCCCTGCCGCTTGCTCGACTGGCTCCGCCCCGGAGCCCGTTTCTTCATTGCTTGGGGCATGACGGGCGTCATGGCCCCCGCTCCCCCCCTCCCCATATGACGTAACGCTCGCCCCCCCAGTGCGCTCCGGGCACTGCCGCCGTGCGCATTGGAATCCGCGTAGGTGTCCGCGTAGGATTCCGCATAGGAGTCTGGTCCGCAGTCGTCGTCGTCGTCGTCGTCGTCGTCGTCGTCGTCGTCGTCGTCGTCGTCGTCGTCGTGGTCGTGGTCGTCTTCGTCGTCGTCGTCTTCGTCGTCGCTCGTGGCTTGTCGCTCGTCGCTTATAGTCGTCGTGCGCGCGGACGCGGCTGAAGCCTGTTTTTTATTCCGGGCCGATGACGGCAATCATCTAGGGAGGGGTGGAGGGGGTCGATTACGTCACGTTTCGCGCCAGCGGCGTCTGGGAATGCTTAGTAGTGACGGAGGACGGGTAACGCCAGCATACAGGTGGCGATTTGCACTACAACGCCTGTGTACACAGCAGTGCTTGCGTGCACCACAGCGCCTGTGTACACCACGCCGCCTATGTACACCACATCATCCGCGTGCAACACAGCGTCAGTTTGTGCCACCGTGCTTGCGGGCACAGCAGTTTTTGTGCACACCACAGCGATTGCGTACACCACATCAGCCGTGTGCAGCACAGCACCAGTCTACACCACAATGCCTGCGTCCATTACAGTGCCTGTGTACACCACGGCGTCTGTGTGCACCACAGCAACCGTGTGCAACACAGCACAATGGTTGCATATATAATGTTATTATAACGAATCCTTATGACAAAATGGAGCGCTTGTGGATTCCACCAGAAAAACAACATAACATAATCCTTATGGACAACGGAACGCCGCTGGAATCTACGAATCCTCTTGAATCCGCCCGCATCACCCTAACTCCAGCCAGATTGACCGTCCGAGAACCAAGTGGACCGATTCAATAGACCATTCTGCGGTGCGCGCTGAGATGCGCACGTCCGCTGTAGTGCCACCCCGAACGACAGGGGGTAAGGAGGAGGAGGAGGACGAGGAGGAGGAAAAGGAGGAGGAGGACGAGGAAAAGGAGGAGGAGGAGGTGGTGGGGGTGGAGGAGGAGGAGGGAAAAACGCCGCATTCGATCATCAGCTCTTTCTTTGCGCGGCGTCTAGTTGTCCGCAGCATCTCCGCACGTACGTGCTCCTTCTACTTGTTTTATGCACGCAGGCATTGTGGTGTGCACCAGCGCTGCGTTGCACGCGGATGCTGTGGTGTAGGCTCGCGCCGTGGCGTGCACAGGCGCCGCGGTGCACGCAAGCATTGTGGTGTACACAGGCGCTTTGTTGCACATGGGAGCTGCGGTGTGCACATGTACGCCGGCGCTGTAGTCCACGCAAGCACTGTGGTGTACACAGGAGCTGCGTTGCACACGGTTGTTGCGGTGTACGCAGGCGCTGTGGTATACACGCGCGCTGTGGTGCACGCGAGCGTTGTGGTGTACACAGGCGCAATGGTGCATATCGCCACCTGCATGCGCGGGCGCGGCTGCGGTGCCGGAGCCACACGGTGGGGGGGGCTGTTACGTCATACCCCCCTCGCCCCCCCCCATGACCCCCGTCATCGCCGAACATAAAGAAACGCGCTCCCGTGAGGCTGCTATTTCCAGAAGTGTGCGTGTATGTGTGTGTGTGTGTGTTTGTGTGTTTTTGTGTGTGCGCGTGTGTTTGTGTTTTCGTTTGCTTGAAGCGGTGTGGCTTCTGACCTTTTACTTCGAAGCTTGCGATCCAGACGTCTTTCTGCTGCCCCGAGGTGCCCAGGCCAGGCAAGGCAGCGTGGTTCCTGCCCTCATGCTCCCAAACCTGCGATCCACCCGTCTTCCTGCTACCCCTTGGTGTACATGCCAGGCCATCGGTTTCCATGTCACGTGTCTCAGTGCACTCTTCCAGTGGTGTCCATCCCATAGAGGTCCATGATATGTGTTCCAATCCGTCTTTCTGGTGTTCTGCTGCTTTGATTATGCGCGGCGATGACCACGCCGTACCTCCTCGCGCCCAAGGATTGGATAGAGGCGATCCGGCTCATGCAGGCCGGCTTGTAGGACCCTGTCGCTGGAAAATTCGGCGGCCAAAAAAGTGCGCGCACCCATCTTGATCCCAACCCACCCTTGGCAACGCGACACCAGGTGCAGGGCGAGCGGTCTCCCCTTCCGTCCTTCCTCCGCTGTTCCCCCTCATCCCTTTCCCCTTCATTTTTCTTGCTTCCTCCCCCTCCACATTTCATCATCCCCTCTTTCTCCTCCTCCTCTTAAGTACTTTGTTCAGTCGGCTTCCTTGCTACACTGGAGTTGCTGTGTCCTTATCTATGTACAAGCTCGGCAAGCCAGCAGCCTCTCCCGTCAGAGGGGCTGGGAATCAGGACAGAGGATAATTCAGGGGACCGCATAGGCCAGGGACTAGAGGTGAAGGATGAGGAGAAGCAGGAGGAGGACCGCGAGGCCGTGCGAGTTATGACGTCTCTACTACAAGCGCATGTCGCATCATGCCAATGTTGTCGTGCAGACGTTCTAACTCGTAACAAAAGCAGGCATGGCTGGCAGTGGAAACATGGTCATAATGCACACATTCAGAAAGGTGGCGAACGTTTGGACAACATGCGAAACGCCACGGCTTGACGTTCACCTTTGCAAGTTAAGGGACAGGTGATCCTCAAAGTGTGTCCCCGCAAACTACTGTGATGCGTAAAGTTCAGCTTCCTGCAAAGCGCTTTGGAGTGCTGTGGGTTCGGATGAGGAGCGCTCCCCTGCTCCGAGCGGCGATCGACAACGGGCAGCAAGACAGAGAGCAGAAGAGAGGAATGGGGATCTCGACGACGAGGTGATCCCGGCAGGGCGTGCCCTGAATGCGAACCGACCGAACCAGAATTGAGCAAGGACAAGTACGACGGACGGAGCTGGTTGGAGCAGGAATTCGACGAGGAGTGATGAGAGCAGGAGAGGAGCAGGAGGAGGAGGAGGAGGAGGACGAGAAAGAGCTGGAGGAGGGCATGAGAGGGTAAAAGGGAGAGGAGGGTAGAGGAGAGGGGGAGGGAAAAGGAGGGATGGAGGGAGGGTGAGAGGATGATGAGGAGGAGGAGAAGGAGGAGGAGGAGGAGGAGGATGACAACGACGACGACGACGAGTAGGAACCTTGACGACGACGTGGACGAGAAGAGACAACGCCGAGCGCAGGTGACTGCAGGAGCCGCACCCTCCAGAAGTGCAAGAGCCCCATGGCGGAGGCCCCCCCCACACCTCGTCGTCTTGCCTCGCTGTCGTCCTCGTCGACATCCCCGTCGTCGTCGTCGTCGTCGTCCTCCCGCTCCTTCCTCCCTGTCGTCCTCCGGCTCGTTGCCGTCCTCCTCCTCCTCCTCCTTCTCCTCTTCGCCGCCTCTCGTCGTCGTCGTCGTCGGCGTCGTGGTCGCCGTGGTTGTCGATGTTCTCCTTCCTGTCCTCGTCGTCACGCACGTCGTCGTCTTCCTCCAGAAACTCCGGAGGCCTCCGAGCCCCCCCAGGAAGTTCAGAAACCCCAAAGATCTCCAGAGACCTCTCCCGCTCCTCCCCTTCTCAAGACCAGAGGCCTTGGTCGAACTTCAGAGGACTTCATACAGCCATCGTTTTACTATAAGGGACAACGCATTCTCTGGATTCGGGAAGGGGGGGGTTTGAACCGGCTCCCCTCATGAATTGCAAGGTGGGGGGAGGTTCGAACCAGCCCCCCCCCTCAAGGAAGTTGGAGGTTCGAACCGAGGGAGGCCTCCGCCTTGAATTAATGGGAGGGGAATCGATTCCGCATGTCGGCCCAAGCCCAACCGACTGGTCCCAATCCCAACCGACTGGCACCAATCCCAATCCGCGCGCAAACCAAACTGGTCCGAATCCCAATCAATGGAAGACAAACCCACAATAGGAAACACTCTAGAGTGCGGTTCAAGACAAGTGTAAAAACCAAGTGACACTTCTTAGGCCAGCGCATTTATTATGGAAGCCAGCATACCTGCCAGAGATAGGATTGTCACCACTGTGGTCTTCGCAGGAGCACTCTGAATAATGGTTGTGGTAGTAGCAGTTATAGAACCTGTCGCAGCAGAATAATCAGACAACTTTTGAGTAGTAGTAGTAGTAGTAGTAGTAGTAGTAGTAGTAGTAGTAGTAGTAGTAGTAGTAGTACTCGTAGTAGTAGTAGTAGTAGTAGTAGTAGTAGTAGTAGTAGTAGTAGTAGTAGTATCCGTGGAACTAGCAGTAGTAGTAGTAGTCGTAGTAGTAGTAGTAGTAGTAGTAGTAGTAGTAGTAGTAGTAAAAGTAGTCGTAGTAGTAGTAGTAGTAGTAGTAGTAGTAGTAGTAGTAGTAGTAGTAGTAGTCGTAGTAGTAGTAGTAGTAGTAGTAGTAGTAGTAGTAGTAGTAGTAGTAGTAGTCGTAGTAGTAGTAGTAGTAGTAGTAGTAGTAGTAGTAGTAGTAGTAGTAGTAGTAGTAGTAGTAGTAGTCGTAGTCGTAGTAGTAGTAGTAGTAGTAGTAGTAGTAGTCTAGTAGTAGTAGTAGTAGTAGTAGTAGTAGTAGCGTCGTAGTAGTAGTAGTAGTAGTAGTAGTAGTAGTAGTAGTAGTAGTAGTCGTAGTCGTAGTCGTAGTCTTAGTAGTAGTAGCAGTAGTGGTAGTAGTAGTAGTAGTAGTAGTAGTAGTAGTAGTAGTAATAGCAGTAGTAGTAGTAGTAGTAGTAGTAGTAGTAGTAGTAGTACTAGAGGTACTATCAGTAGTAGTAGTGGCAGTCGTAGTCTTAGTAGTAAAGTAGTAGTAGTAGTAGTAGTAGTAGTAGTAGTAGTAGTAGTAGTAGTAGTAGTAGTAGTAGCAGTAGCAGTAGCAGTAGCAGTAGCAGTAGCAGTAGTAGTAGGTAGGTAGGTAGGTAGGTAGGTAGGTAGGTAGGTAGGTAGGTCGGTCGGTAGGTAGGTAGGTAGGTAGGTAGGTAGGCAGGCAGGCAGGCAGGGCAGGCAGGTAGGTAGTAGTAGTAGTAGTAGTAGTAGTAGTAGCAGTAGTGGTAGTAGTAGTAGTAGTAGTAGTAGTAGTAGTAGTAATAGTAGTAGCAGTAGTAGTAGTAGTCGTAGTAGTAGTAGTAGTAGTAGTCGTAGTAGTAGTAGTAGTAGTAGTAGTAGTAGTAGTAGTAGTAGTAGTAGTGGTCGCAGCAGAAGTAGTAGTCGTAGTAGTAGTAGTAGTAGTTGTAGTAATTAAACGAATAGTAGTCGTATTAGAAGTGCCAGTAGTAATAGTCGCAGTAGTCGTAGTAATCGTAGTAGTCGTATTATTAGTAGTAGTAGTAGGAGTAGTAGTTGTAGTAGTAGTAGTAGTAGTAGTAGTAGTAGTTGTAGTTGTAGTTGTAGTTGTAGTTGTTGTTGTAGTAGTCGTAGTAGTAGTAGTAGTAGTAGTAGTAGTAGTAGTAGTAGTAGTAGTAGTAGTAGTAGTAGTAATAGTAGTTCCCCAAACAGCTTGCTGAACGGGGTGCTGTTGTGATAGAAGCTAATTCCGGCCGAGGGAAAGCTAAGCAGAGACATCCTCAAACAAATGTGGTGGTCCGGCCCGTTTCGCCTGAGACATCCTCACAACTCTCGTTTCTGAGTTGTCCGGGATTGAGCGTTTCGCCTGAGACATCCTCCTAAATCTGAGCTCTGAGAGGCCGCGCGAGAGGTGGTCCGGGCCGTTTCGCTTGAGACATCCTCGAAACTCTGAGCTCCCAGATGCCGCGCGAGAGGTGGTCCGGGCCGTTTCGCCTGAGACATCCTCGCAACTCTGAGCTCCAAGATGCCGCGCGCGAGGTGGTCCGGCCCGTTTCGCCTGAGACATCCTCGAAACTCTGATCTCCCCGATGCCGCGCGCGAGGTGGTCCGGCCCGTTTCGCCTGAGACATCCTCGAACTTCTGAGCTCTGAGATGCCCTGCGCGAGGTGGTCCGGCCCGTCTCGCCTGAGAAATCCTTGCAACTCTGAGATCTGAGATGCCGTGCGCAAGGTGGTCCGGCCTGTTTCGCACAAGATATTCTCGCAACTCTGAGCTCTCAGATGCTGCGCAAGAGGTGGTCCAGCCTGGGGGCCCAGAAGGCCACATGTTACATATCCTCCATGGGACCCTGCGAGCCTCAGGAGGCCCCAGAGAGGTCCAGGAGGCCGCAGGACGCCCAGGACAGGCCCCAGGGGCCCCCAGGAGATTCCCAGGAGGCCCCAGGAGGCCCTCTATCAGAACGTGTCAAGTTAATACACATCCGGTGTCGATTCGTTGATTTTTCCTGCTCTTGTGCCCCCCCCTCCATTTGGAGAGGCCCAAGCGGCCACAGGTTAGATATCCCCCCTGGGAGCCCCAAGATGCTTCAGGAAACCTCAGGTGGAGTTCAGGAGGCCACAGGAGGCCCAGGAGGAAGCTCCAGGAGGTCCCCAGGAGGCCCAGGAGGCACCAGGAGGCCGCAGGACGCCCAGGACAGGCCCCAGGGGTCTCCAGGAGATTCCCAGGAGGCTCCCAGGAGGCCCCAGGAGGCCGCTTATCAGAACGTGTCAAGTTAATACACATCCGGTGTCGATTCGTTGATTTTTCCTGCTCTTGTGCCCCCCCCCCCTCCATTTGGAGAGGCCCAAACGGCCACAGGTTAGATATCCCCCCTGGGAGCCCCAAGAGGCTTCAGGAAACCCCAGGTGGAGTTCACGAGGCCACAGGAGGCCCAGGAGGAAGCTCCAGGAGGTCCCCAGGAGGCCCCAGGAGGCACCAGGAGGCCCCCGCAACTCGGAGCTCTGAGACGCCGCGCTCGAGGTGGTCCAGCCCGTTTCGCCTGAGACTTCCTCGCAGCACGTTTCGCCCGAGACATCGTCGCAACTCTGGGGTCCGAGATGCCGCGCGCGAGGTGGTCCAGCCCGTTACGCTGGAGACATCCTCGCAACTCTAGGCTCCGAAATGCCGTTCGCGATGAAGAGGAGGTGGAGGAGGAGGAGGAGGAGGAGGAGGAGGAGGAGGAGGAGGAGATGGAAGGGAGAAGGAGGAGGCGGATGATGTGCATGAGGGAGCAGGCAGGAGGAGGGGGAGGTCCCAGAGAGCTTCAGGAGGCCGCAGGACGCCCAGGACAGGCCCCAGGGGTCCGCAGGAGATTCCCAGGAGGCTCCCAGGAGGCCCCAGGAGGCCCTCTATCAGAACGTGTCAAGTTAATACACATCCGGTGTCGATTCGTTGATTTTTCCTGCTCCTGTGGCCCCCCCCTGTATTTGGAGAGGCCCAAACGGCCACAGGTTAGATATCCCCCCTGGGAGCCCCAAGATGCTTCAGGAAACCTCAGGTGGAGTTCAGGAGGCCACAGGAGGCCCGGGAGGAAGCCCCAGGAGGTCCCCAGGAGGCCCCAGGAGGCACCAGGAGGCCCCCGCAACTCGGAGCTCTGAGACGCCGCGCTCGAGGTGGTCCGGCCCGTTTCGCCTGAGACTTCCTCGCAGCACGTTTCGCCCGAGACATCGTCGCAACTCTGGGGTCCGAAATGCCGCGCGCGAGGTGGTCCAGCCCGTTACGCTGGAGACATCCTCGCAACTCTGGGTTCCGAGATGCCTTTCGGGATGAAGAGGAGGTGGACGAGGAGGAGGAGGAGGAGGAGGCATGTTTTAACATGCCATGCCAGCCCGCACTAGGCGGGCACGCAATCGACCTTGGAAACCGCAGTGGGTCTAAAAACCCTGTTTGGGGATACTGCATTCCGGCTATAATAGTAGTTGTAGTAGTAGTAGTAGTAGTAGTAGTAGTAGTAGTAGTAGTAGTAGTAGTAGTAGTAGTAGTAGCAGTAGTAGTAGTAGTAGTAGTAGTAGTAGTAGTAGTAGTAGTAGTAGTAGTAGTAGTAGTAGTAGTAGTAGTAGTAGTAGTAGTAGTAGTAGTAGTAGTAGTAGTAGTAGTAGTAGTAGTAGTAGTCGTAGTAGTAGTCGTAGTAGTAGTAGT